TTACAGTAATAATATTAATAAAAAATCATCCTTTCAGCAGAAACAAAATGCTAACTTTAAAAAAAACAGCAATTTTAAAAAAGGGTTCACACGGTTGAACAAAACTCTTCTTTAAGTGAAGGTGAGATAGTAAGAATTTTTTACTTTTAGACATCATCGAATAAAGCTTTTCTATTAATCCTGAGCTAGGACAGTCTGGGACAATAGGGACAGTCTGTGAGGATTCTTGGGTGACGAACCTTGAGATCAATGACAGGGCAAACATATCATTTAAGATAGATACTGGGGCAATGGCAAACGTAATACCTGTGAGCATACTAAATAAAATCAATCTTAACATTTCAAAAAAACAAATGTAAAACTAAGCTCGTATACAAAAAATAATTTACCAATTTTGGGTCAGGGTTTTCTAAAATGTAAATCGAATAATAAGATTCGCAACCTTTTATTTTATGTAGCAGACATTAATAGCATACCAATTTTAGGTTTGAAAGATTGTTTAGAACTGCAACTTATAAAAAAAATTCAATCAATAGATGATTTTTCTAATAATTTAAATCTCAATCAAATTTTAAATAAATACAAATATATTTTTCCTGGAATAGGTTGTCTAGAAGGGGAATATCATATAGAACTTAAAGGGATTGCTATACCTACGGCTTGTCCTGCTAGAAAAATTCCGATAGCTTTGACTAAAAAATTAAAACATACTTTAAATGAATTAGAAAAAGGAAAAATCATAAAAAAGGTAACTGAGTGTACTGATTGGGTAAATCCCATAATAATTGTTAAAAAACCTAATGGAAATCTTCGCATTTGCTTGGATCCTTCTCGATTAAATCAATTTTTAAGGAAACCAACCTTTCATTTGCCTACTTGGGATGAAATAGCATCAAAAATGCATGGTTCTAGATATTTTAGTACTTTAGATGCAACTCAGGGGTTTCTCCAGATACAATTAGATAAAGAAAGCTCTAAGCTTTGCACGTTTGCGACACCTTTTGGTAGATATTCTTTCCGGAGATTACCCTATGGTCTTTCATGTTCATCTGAGGTATATCAGAACGCATGCAAGAAATTTTTGGAGACATGGAAGGCTGTGCAGTTTTTATAGATGACGTTATCTGCTTTAGTAACTCAATTTCTGGTCATAATTTAATTCTGGAAAAAAATTTAAAGCGTGCTTCACAACATAACATTCGTTTTAACAAAGAAAAATGTAAAATTCTATGTAAAAAAGTCTCCTATATGGGACATGAACTAAGTGAGCGTGGCATAGAAGTAGATAGATCTAAGATTCATGCCATTTTAGACATGCCAAGTCCAGGAAATATCAAAGATCTTCAACGTTTTTTGGGCATGGTCACATATATAGCTCGCTTTGTAGATGGTTTGTCTGAAAAAAAACTTAATTTTGCGTTCTTTACTGAAAAAAGATGTAACTTTTCAATGGTCGGATGAACATGAGAGAGCATTTCAAAACTTAAAGTCAACTTTGACAAAAACAGCTTGTTTGCAATTTTTTGACACTAGCCAACTTACGACTATTTCTGTGAATGCTTCTCAGAGTGGAATGGCGGCCGCTTTGATGCAAAATAGGAGACCATGTGCTCATGCACCGAGAGCATTAACAGAAACTCAGTCACACGTTACTCACAAATTGAAAAAGAATTATTAGCTTGTTGGTTTGGTGCTACACGTTTTTATCAGTATGTTTTTGGCAAAAAGTTCATAATTGAAACAGACCATAAGCCTTTAATTTCAATTATTAAAAAACCTTTGTATCTTACTCCACCAAGATTACAAAGAATGCTCATGCAGTTAAAAAAATATGATTTTGACCTTATCTATAAACCAGACAAAAAACTCATTGTGGCAATTGAGTCGAGCTTTCAATTCCAAAACTAACTTTAATGAAAGTGTTGATTTTGATATTGAGTCACAAATTTGTGCTGTTGAGCTTTCCCTTAATATTACTGATGAGAAAAAACAGCAAATTCGAAAGTTGACCCTTGAGGATCCAGAACTTTGTTTAATAAAAAAACCTTTTGGAGAAAGGGTGGCCCAAAAGCATCAGAAGCTGTCCGGAAAGTGTCAAGTTCTATTACAGATTTAAAGAAGAAATTTCTTGTATTGATCAACTCATTTTTAAGGGCCATAAATTAATTGTTCCTCAAGCTCTACGTAAAGAAATTTTGCAAAAACTTCATCATAGCCACTTACGTTATAAAAAATGTTTGGATATGGCTAACTTGTCATTTTTCTGGCCAGGGATGCAAAAACAAATTGAAGACATGATAACATCTTGCAGTGCATGTCACATGTATCAGAGATCTCAGAGTTCCGAACCTTTGAGGCCTCACAACATTCCCAGATTACCTTGGCAAAAGGTAGCTGCAGATATTTTTTAATTTCAATCAGAATGTTACCTCTTAATTGTCGATTACTATTCAAACTTTGTGGAAGTTGTGAATTTGAATCAAAATTTAACCTCTCAAAATTTAATTAATAAATTCAGATCAATTTTTTTACGTTTTGGTATTCCCAAAATTTTAATAACAGATAATGCAAGCAATTTTTTAGCTTAGAATTTAAGAATTTTTCAAAAAATTGGGTGTTTCAACATGTTACTTCTTCTCCTTTGTATCCTCAGTCAAATGGACAAGTCGAAAGGACGGTACAATCTGTTAAAAATTTACTTAAAAAGTGCTTTTTCAATAAGGAAGATCCATATTTAGCTTTACTAAACTTTCAAAATACACCTTTGGATGGTGAGAACTCTCCAGCAAATGCTGTTATGAATCGAAACTTAAGATCTGTAATTCCAGAGATAAATAATAAATTTTCAAAAAATTTCAACAAGAAAAAATTCAATTCTCACATAACAAAAAACCAGCAGAATCAAAAAAAATATTATGACAAAAATAAACAAGCTTTAGCACCTTTAAAAAACAACTCTTTAGTAAAAGTTCAAATAAAGCCAAAAACACCATGGCAAAATGGTAAAATTTTAAGAAAAGTAGCTTTTAGATCTTATTTAGTACAGCTGGAGAATGGTTCTATTTTTAGACGTAACAGAAAATTCTTAAAAGAGCTCAAAACATCCAAAGATTTTCTATCTCGAAGCTTGAGAGAGCCGAGGAGTTTTCCTGATTTGTTTTCGGAAAATAATTTTCATAATAATAGATATTTTTTGAGAATAGTCAATAATTCAAACAACAATGAAAAGTCCATTTCTGAAGATGCAAAAAATTCTCCTAGACAGAATGATTCAAATAGAGAATATATACAGGCTGATCCTGGTGTAAGCAACAACTCTGGTAGCAACTTAAATGTAAATAGCTGTAGTGACAATGACAGTCTTGTGAGCTGTAGTTCTAATTCTTTTTTAAATTCTAGTTTTATAAATTCCAACTCTGACAAAGAAAAAACTCTAAAAAGTGTAAATAACTCTTTTGACAACCATCAATTGGAAAATGTAGAGAATAAAAAATTTTTAGATGATGCTGGTTTAACAAATAAAGGAATTGACGAAAATAATTTATTGTTAAACTTCTAAGCAAACTAAATTTTTCTTTAAATACTTCAAAGAAGGGGAAGAGAGTACTAGTCATAGAACTAGATCTGGACGAAGTGTGAAAATTCCACAGAAACTTAAAAATATATATATATATATATATATATATATATATATATATATATATATATATATATATATATATTTGCTTATACAACTTTTGTACTCTCACTTTACATAAAGTGAGAACTTCTTTTTTTTTATCAACTTTAAACTCACCTCACACAAGGTAAAATCATTATTTTAATTTCACGGTTGGTCCAAATGAAATTCAATTTGTCTTTATACATATAAGGAATTATATTTTGTCAATGTAATAAATTTACGGTTTAACTTTAACTTTTACTAATTAACTATAATTAGTATTTAACATCAATTTAAGCACTTTTAAATGATTTTACAAAAATCAAAAAACCAATTTTAAATGTAAAATAAAATGCAGCTATGAATTTGTCTGTCTATAGTTTTGTCCATATATGTAAATTGACCATAAAAATGATAGAATATTGTGATATTAGATATAAGGTACCGATAACAATAAAATTAAATCAGTTTCCAACTTATTTATTATGTTTTCAGCATACATTTTGACTTGTAAACTCTATTTGTAGAAAGTTACACTTTTAAAATTTTATTGTAAAAAGGGGGATGCCACAAGGTCTTATTGTGTCTTATTGTATCAATCCCATATACTGTGATGGCTTTATATTTGTTTTATACTATGCTGTACTTTTGGATCACATGATCTAAGGAAACTATGTAAAATAAAAGTACTTTGTTACCGGGTTGCGCTACGACCAGACGTGTTCTTTATTAACCTGTCTCCTCTAAATAAAATAGAAGTTAAACAACAAAATAAACAATGTGTATAGGCCACTTTAAAATGGAAAATAATATACGGGCATGTATACGATCGTTACGCCACGTAGTGCCACTTTCGTAAACTAAAAAAAATATACTTTTCCCATATGGCGAGCTCGAAGCTCACAGAAAGGCAAACTAAAACGAATCAGAGAGATATACTGGATACTGAGTGAATCGTGTAAATTTGGTTTATTTATAATCCATGGTAACCGAGCTATTGGGCAAATCTATTTTGCGTCCGATAATCTAGTCTTTGATGCAATTAATTTCAACAAATTTTATGTAAAAATAACAATGGGCAACCCTGCTGAAAGTAGTTCATAATAGAATTCGAAACACGACTAACTAATAATGACAAATACCTATTTTAACAGCTTTTTATACTATATAGTTGTGGTTTATACAATGGATGATGTAGCGCCATCTTAGAACCAGGTGATTCGTTAAGTAATCGGCTTGATTATATACGTGTGGATAATTCTCTGCTGCGAAAGAAATCTATATATTCTTCGGGATTGTGACAGTTTGACACACGATTTGACATTTTGTTGGACAATTGTAAAATGGTAATGGCGGAAAGTAGTTGGACAATAACAATAAGTAAAAAAGAAAACGCAAGGAAAGCGTTTAATGTGTGTGCATTTTTTCGATTGTAAAAGTTACATCGGATATCGTGTTTTGATCGAACTGTTTTATCAACAACAACGCATTCATCTCCAACCGCATTTAAATTTACATTTGTGATGATTGTATACTTTGTGTACTCTAGTTGTTAAAAAAAGCTTTCCGTAAAAGAAAAGTGACTGAAACCAAACTCTTCCAAATCTTCGTTATGCCTGAAACCAGCTCACAACTTAACAGATAGCTATGGCAAATTTGAACTTTACTAGAAGTATTGGAGGTAGCAGCCTCGGAAGACCGAGTGTGAGTTTCGGTAGTAACTCTATGTCTGGGCATGTTACTCCAGTGTTCGGCCAAAGACCACCATCTGAAAGAAGAACTATTCCTTCACTAGGGTAAAGATTTTTTAATTGAAATTCCTATAAGTGTGGTAGAAGTAATGAAAATTTTAAATAATTTTGATACCCCATACCAAATATTTTACTTATTTTCATGAACAAAGTAGTATATTTAATTCATGTAGAATTTTTAAACCCCATAGCCTTTTTTGGGAGGTCAATAAAAAAGATTTATTCTAGGTATCTGAGATTAACTTACATTGCTAAAATTGAATCTGAAGTAATAAAGTAGGCTAGGAACAGTTTCGACTCTAATGTATTTAGTTCTGTGGGCTGGTTTAAGTCTTCTGTATGAAAACTTGTGTAAAAATGATTTGAATCAAATATTTAACAACAAAAACGAGAAAATAGAAAGCTGGAAACTTCTAGGACCTATGATTCCTAAACAATGCAGTAGATATATTGTATTCCTTTAAGTGTTCAATGCTTGTATGATATATTTTGGAGACCTTATTTATTTAAAATGAACAGATAATTATTAAGGTTACTAGGGTCAAAATAGACACTTGAATTTGGTAATGTTCCCCAACACAGCTATCACACTAGTGTTAAAACTATATTCAATTAGTTTTGGTTAGTCTTGTGCCATAGAATCCTAATGTTTCGTTTGTTCAGTACTAGTTAAATATTAGATCAGTCTAACTTGTTTTAGGACCTAGTTGCACATGTGCTAGGCTCCAAGTTGTGTTTGTGCTGTCAAAAAGCAAACTCAAACTTTTTACCAGCAAAATTAAATTATACTTAATATAATTTGCCAAAGTCAATAATGGCCATAATAGTATCAAAAATTGTATCTAGTTCTCTGTGTCATATGTCATTAAAATCAGTTTTATTTTAAGTTTCTAATGTCCTTCTCATATTTTTTATGGCGAGAGTTGAACAATTGGAAAATGAAACTGTTATTGCAAAGGCACAGTATCTTTCCAATTACAGTGAAAGAAAATCACTCTCAAAATGTTTATATTAACTTTTAGAAATAGCAACCAAATGGGTAACATGAACAGTCTTGGGGGTTATAGTTCCTTTAATTCAGTATTTGGATCGGGTGATGCTAACACACCTTCTCTGTTGGACTTGAGTGAGTTTCCATCCCTGACAAATCGAAGTTCAGGAGATGTTCCCCAGCCTAGTCCTATGCCTGGAGGAAAACCGTATGTTGGAATGGTAAAGCAGGTACACGCAACTTATATAGTTTTTGAAAGTTGTGTGGTCCTTTGTTAAAAAACAACTAGAAAGTTTGATTAATTGTAAATGATAGCTATGAGTCCCACAACATAAATTACTATGGTTTCAGTGTAAAAAGGCACAAAAATGCAATAGCTACTTTAAGACTTATTTTTAGCCAACGTCTGAGACTAGTGAATTTACTATGTCAAATGAAGACTTTCCTGCACTGCCAGGTACCCATAATCATGTTGAGGGCGCTTCACCAACAAGTGCTTCTACAGATAAAAATGGACAAGGTGTGAATACCGAGAGCAATTCAAGTTCTAGGGATGGTGATAAAAATGGTTCCAAACAAGGTAGTTATTTATAGTCATAGTACTGCTTTCTTATACCTTCTTATTATTCTTATTGTTTTTTCAAATTAGGAATCCAGACATCTCCAGATGGTCGTGTCACCAATATACCTGCCAGCATGGTTTCAGATCAGTTTGGAATAGTAGGTTTATTAACTTTTATTCGAGCTGCTGAAACTGACCCTAATTTGGTGTCCCTTGCGCTTGGTCAAGATTTAACAACTCTTGGTCTGAATCTCAACTCTCCAGATAACTTGTATCCATCTTTTGGAGGACCTTGGGCTGAACATCCCTGTCGTCCTCAGGACATTGATTTTCATGTACCCCCTGAGTACCTCATTAATCATGCCATCAGGTAAGTTATGTACGATTTGAATTACAAAATGATTAACAGTGTTACTGTGAGATATTCCTGTTAAAGTTGTATATTTGCTATTATCGTCAATATGCTTTTGAAAGTAAAATATTACCAGAAGTGTTGGGGGAAATAAAAAAATTTTTCTGTAGCAATTGCTCTCATTCCCTTTTATTGTGACTAGAAATTTTCCATAATTTTAATTAAATTGTTTATAATTACTCCGTTTCATTCTGACATGGTTGCCTCGAGAGATGCCTGTCAAAACAGTTATCACCACACATTTATGATGACATTAATTTTGTGATTTTCTTCATTGCCATCTTGGAAAATTTTCCCACATCGCCGATGCGCAACTTTGCCTATATATACCATGTATATACACAAAGTTTTTCATTTTTCAGGGATAAGCTTGCCGCAATGAAGTTGAGTCGATATAAGGATGATCTCCTTTTTTTTATGTTTTACAACAGTGTAGGCGATGTACTTCAAATTGCGGCAGCTTCGGAATTGTGAGTAATCAATAATAAAAATGACGAAAATAAATTTTTAATTTGAAAAAAGTGAAATGAATGTATAGGGTTTGTCTTAATTTGTTAAGGAAACTATTTGTTGCTAATTGCAGGTATAGTCGAGAGTGGAGGTATCACATGGAGGAGAAAGTGTGGATAACACAAGTTCCTGGTATGGTTCTTATTGAAAAGACTTCATCATATGAAAGAGGCACATATTATTTCTTTGACATCCAAAGTTGGAGAAAGGTGTGTATGTTACAGTTGAGTATGTGTCATGGGTTGCTATATAAAGTTGAAATCCAGAAAGATGATTATAGAGCCATCTACTAACTATTAACTACCAAACTAAGAAACGGTCATACATCACATTATGAAGATAATTAGAGGTAATAAAAAATATATAAACAGAATAAACAGAAGCCCATAACAAGAAAAGCCCATAAAGAAATAACAGATCTACTGCATTTTTTCTACTACAAAACAAAAAACTGTTTTTCGCAAAATAACTATTTCATATTCACCCATTTTACTTAAAGGTATGACATGATGAAATTAATGTTTAAAATATCATTTTCCTTTAAGGTAGGGTACAAACAATAGCAATACTGCAATTATCGAAATAAACGAAAATATTCTAAATACTATCAAATAACAGACTATGATTTTGATAGCAGTTGTTTGTAAAACTAATTATTGCCTGTCCACATCAACACATCACAAGTCCGCGCGAGTCATCACATTAAAGAAGCGATATATCTGGTTGCATGGCATTCATAATATCAAATATATTTTGATGTTTAAAATAGGTATAATATATTAAAATAGTCTAACGCACATAAAATTATAAAATTTTATATATATTTTTTTTAAACTTATAGGCATGAGATATTGAAAATAATAGGCTGCAGAACAAGGACGTTTCCCGTAAGTGAGTTCTGCTCAACTTCTAATAAATTCGTTTTACTCTTTTAAGAAGGATGCATAGGTTTTTTCAGGCAGTTCAGAAATTATACCATAGTTGATGCTTTTTGTATATTGTTTTCTAATCTATTCTTTTTTTTAAGCAGATTTCAGTTACTTTAAATAGAAATTGTATGGCTGTTGTTGTGGAACATGTAATTTTGGTAATATCAGTGCCAAGCTGTTGATTGAAAAACAAAAATACTTCTTCAGCATAAAATAAACGTATGTTTCTGTGGCCTTTTGTTACGTGCCAGTAATTGTATATAATTAAACTATTTATCTTTTCAAAGGCCTATTAAAAAAACACTTTTGATCAAAGGATGTGCTTTTAACTTGGCTGTTGGTACTTCGCCCGTTGATTCAACTGTGCAGGTTATAACTTTCAATTTTGTGTGATTGAAAATAAATCTCAAACGTTAGAAAAAAAACAAATATTTTGACCTCACACACTAATTCTGATTGTAACGACGGCGAAACTGTCTATACGCTTCCGCGAATACTGTTTCTTGTAAGTTGTAGTTTTTCAATATACCTATTATTGTGCATAGTTTTCAAAACAATAAAAATAACTCGATGAAAAACATATAAACTTAAAAGCGACCAGCATTTATCCTCCTTTTCCTGATGGCTCACCGATTGTTTACATTCTTCGTTCGCCTTATTGTAGAGGTCGTTTTTGTTAAGTGGGCTGTACTTTGTTATTAACATTTTTTAAATATTTGTAACGATTGTCTTTCTGAAAAATAATCTGGTGAAATGGTCACCTTTCTGATTTTGCATTTCGTAGAACACAAAAACGCCGTGTTTACATTCAATCCGCCATAGAAAAAAAATCGCAAATACCATTACCTATAATTAAACCATTCTACGCAATCCCCACAGGACCGTATTATTGGTGATAAATCATTAAATTTTTAACGAAACAAAAATATCTTGCTGAAACAATATTTTTTATATGGCTTCCCAAAGGACAGTAACTGTAAAGCTTGAAGCACATTTGTCCACTGCAACTAGATAGTATTCAAAGCAAAAATTTTGAAGGAATAAATAAAGGAATAAAAACTTTAAAAACAAAAACGTTAGTGTGTATGTAGAAGAACGTTACATTTTTAAGTGCGCATATAACATACACACTAAAGTTTTTGAATGAGCATTGATCTAGGCGGATATCAACGTCCCTCTGTGTGGGTCTTTACACAACAAATTGAGAATGCAAAACATTTAGAAAGAAATTAGGCAATAAAATGGAAAAAATAAGATTCAAAGTTGATAAACAATTATAAACATACAAATTTTGTTTTTATAAATGTACTTAAGCGTAAACATTATAAACTTTCCCTAATTTCGATATTAATTTTTGTCCTTCACACTATATGATCTGTTTGCGTAGGTAGATACTAAATTCGCCCTTAAATTAAATGAATATGCGAACCTATTTTTTTGATGAAATCGTGAAACCTGACGATTTTTAAGAGATTAAATTTTTATGCTTTTATCTAGGCCTGCCTGGAAAATCAGCTGGTCATAACATTTTAATTTTTTAAATTACTAACCACAAGATGCAAGAAATAATTTGAATGCTGTTGGAACTGATGAGGACAGGTTTTTTTTTTACAACAATCAGTAAATAATTAGTTCATATAGGAATCTGCATCATTGAGAAGAATTCAACCAAGTTCTTCAATCGGTTTATGGTATTCTATATTTTGTGGTATAGGTGGCAAAGGAATTTCATTTGGATTACAGCAAGCTTGAAGGTAGACCAGTCCTGAATACAACGTGAGCTGTTTAGGCTGATTCCATGACCTCCCTATTTTGGGATCCCGCGTATAAATAAATGAAAAATGTATACATTATAATAAAACTTGTTAATTTTTAAGCTTAATTCTGGGCTGCAAAATGGTTGATTTCAATCCAGCTATTTTGCATGTTCAGCTAAGTATGATGAAAAAACATTATATCCAAATTAGATTCAAGTCATTTTATGGATGTATGGATATAAAAAATTTTATCCCTGAAAACAGGTTCTGATGACAAATATTGTTACAGTTATAAATAGTTGACATGAATCCTTGTTTGTTTCTAAAAGTACATTTGCCAAAAACAAATAAGACATGCAATCTCCTTTGGATATAAAGTAATTGGTTTTAAAATTCAAAGAAAACAAAATAATGAAGGATTAAAGTTGTAAATCTATACAGTTTTCATTTCATTTGTATATTGATTTGTACAATATTAATAAATACTTATGGATTTATTTTAAATTTGAGTTAAACAAATACCCCCATCTATAGCATGGTACCTTATAGTATATTATTTGACACGAGCGGAGCGAGTGGTTAATCAACGAGTGACTTAAAAAGTTTACCGAACGTGTTGCATACTGTACTTTTTCTACGACCGTTAGTTTTTGGGTATATTTTCGCAAAACAACACGAATACATTCATGGCCCTCAGAATTGACAAACGTCAACTATCAAGGTATGGAAAATATCTCCGAAAACATCAGGTTGCTTCCAAACCCGTGCGGTAATATCCCGGAAATGTCCAAAGCGGTTCCGATCAGTGGGAAACGAAACTAACGTGGTAAAGTGGCGCTTCCCGGACGCTAGATCGGTGTGTAATTAGACATTTTACAAACGGGAGTAGAAAAATAAGTTTTTTCCACAATGGCTAAAATTAAAAATTTTATGGTGAAAAGCGTATCAAGAAGAGGATGTTGAGCCAGAGTGATTAAATAGTGTATACCTCTTCTTCTTCGCGTGTATACTTCTGCCCTTACTGCAGAGCAGTTTAGAAGAAAAATTATTTTCAGAGAGTTTAGTACTTTTTTCCACTATTCTAAAGTATCCAATTGTGCACTGATCAGGCGTACGCGAGTGTCATTTTAAGAGCTCAGCTCTGCAGTTAATTTATTCGTGTCGTTATGCAAACACGTACCCCAAAAATTAATGATCATAGAAAAAGTGTAGTTAATAAACTTCTAGTTTACACACTTACAAGTGGTGTTTTTTCAAACTTGCGACATAATATACTATTATCTACACATTTTTCTTCATTAAAAGTTTGTAAAAGATGAAATTGAATTGAAAACAATACAGACAGCCGCAAAAATGTTATTGAGGATTCGCAATCATGAAATGTCGGCAGCCGGAACATGAATCAGTAAATGAAATATAAAAACATTTCATAATATTTTTTATTTCCATAAATAATAAATATTTACAAATTCTTACATCTCGTCTTGTACATAAAACATCCTTTGTATATAATAAGCTCTTTAAATTTTAGTCATAAGAAGAAACATGAATGACTAAAGAATACTGAGCACGGTTGACGGTCGAGTGCTTTTCCAGAATGAATATCTTAAATAGTAATAAGCCCACCCAGAGTGACAAAAGTTGTAAAACACTTTTCTGTTCCTCTTAATACAGAACGAGTTGCTATTTATAAATTTAACATATTTCTTTTCCCTTATTTTTTCCCTCATTTCCACCCACAAAATTTACCGAAAATTATGTTTGTGCTCTTAGTAAATTCTGTAGCTGTCAGAAAAAGGTGATTTTTTTTGTTAATGATACAAGATACAATAGTAATTACAAGAAATACACTTACTTTTTAGCACATTTTTCGGAAAATAATGCCAAAGTAATTAGAAACTATTGTTAAAAATGTTAAATTATTACACTAAACAACTCTTTCACAATGCAAACTGTTTTCCGTTGTTCACCAGAAACCATATGCTAGTTCGGTGCAACATAAAAAACACCATACTATATAAAATTCGCCCAAAACTTTCACGTGAAAGACAGATTACAATATTTTAAATCCCAGCATAGCAATAATATGATCAGGCATTATCAAAGTCTACTAAGTAATCAATATACAGTTCGAATTAGATGCAACCAGTGACTTTCACCACTTGCATTTAATACATGCAGGTCTACTGAAGTGTTGACACTGTACCAAATGGGATAAAAATAGTTAGAGTTGTTTAGGAAAAACTATTTTGATATTCTGTATTTAGTCCACAGAAAATTTTTGTAGAAGAAAAATCTTTACTACAGTTACAAGTCAACCACAGTTTCATTTTGTAAAAGTATTTTAACATACTGTATCATGTTAAAGTTCTCGCGTCCAGCGAAATTAAACGCTCAAAGGGACAGTATAGTTTTAGCCTTGTGCCAAACCACTAACACGCTTTATAAACACTTTAAGAGAAGAACGATTTTTTTGCTCAATATTCCTGTAAATGACAACTTTTGTGCAACTTTTACCTGTAAAAAAGTTGCACGTAAAAACTGAGGTGAATTTTCCACAATAGCATATTCTTCAATCGAACTATTAATTATTGTGGGATTTGTTATTTATCTGTCAGCCTTAATTTTTTTTATATCCGAACTGTAGTTCAAGTTGAAACCAGTGAAAGGAAGTGTAGAGGAAGATAAATCTGTGCCGTCTGTCTTTTGAAATGCTTTTTAAATACATATATTCTTTTTGGAGACACTAAAAACAAGACTATTTGTTTATGTCAATGCTACTGCAAACTGAAACATTGTAAAAAATCTTTTTTAAAAAATTATGCAAATTTACATATCTAAGTTGCATTATAAAAACTGTATATGGTTGGTTAGTTTACTATACTGATATTAATGATTAATATAATCTTCCTTTTTTCTGGAATCAAGTATGAATTAAAACACCTAAATTAATAGCACCATACTGTTGTTGGATATATGCTTACTACCTTTGAGATAAAGCATTTGTTTGCTTTCTCTGTTATAGGTAAAGCCTCGTGACAATTCAATTTCTAATTCTTATATGTATATCTACGCCTATAGCGCCTATTTTAATATGGATGAGATGCGAGCATTGCCCACTAACAAGCATTCTATTTTGCACTTAAATTTAAAACTAAAACTGGCAAACGAAATTTTATGTCAGTGAAACAAAAAAGTATAAATACTAAAGCTTACATCCCGAATCCAATAAAAACATCAGACCACAAAAAATACTCTCTTTTTAATAAACAAATAATTAAGTAGAACCAATATTTTACTACACTCCATCATACCCATCTGTTATCGTGATAATTCCACACATCTCGATATGTGCGCAATTTTGTTTCTCGGTCAAGGATTCCAGAAAAATGAAATATTTCTATTGATAAATTTATATTCTGGGACTTTTAAATTTTATGATGTGTAACATATTACCAAAGGTGTACAATTAATTAATGTCAGCCTTATATAACTATTAAACACATAGTATTAATAATTTTTTTGTTTGGGGGAGACAGAAATGATGTATTTTTCATTGAAATAGTCTATTCTTAAAACAGACAGGATCCAATTAATTTTCCAATTTTGAAAAATATTTTAAAATAAGATAAAGCTTTCTGAAATATTCTTATAATCACTTGGTACACATTAGAATATACACTACAGCCACCGATTAGACAACAACAAATAATGTGCAATAAATTAGAAAACAAAAATAAAAAATATAAGAAAAACTTAAGAGATTCTCAATAAGCTATGAGAGAAAACATAAAAAGGGAAAATATTGTATTACAAATTAAAACGTTGGATCGTGATTATCATTGTTAGCCCTTCACATACTTCAAGCTTGAAATTCCATAAATTAATTAAATACCAATTTCATTACAATTTCTAACATTTTGGGTTCATTCAGATAAATAAAGTTAGTACAGTTATCACAGTTTATATATGTATGTAGTGACAATAACAATATAAAAAAAATCGGTTTATCTGTACAATTTCAAATCTTCAAAAAAGTGACGGTTCAAAAACATTGGAATAGCAGTTCCTGAGTTTTATTTGTTTATCATTTCTTATGCATTTAAAGTTGGCCTAATAAACACTTAAATTTCATGGAATTTAATTCATAGTGGTAAATAGTTTAGTTGTTAAACTAACCTGATCATTTAAAATACAATTTACTGATGAACTGTTTTGGTTTAAATTATTTCTCATATAATACAGAGACTACTATTTTTATTACAGAGCAATGTAAAATGAAATTGCCGATAAATAGAACAAGAAATCCCAAAAATTATAGTTTTATCATGTTGGTTCAACAGGCACCTTTGTAAATATTTTGCCGTTTTATAAAAGAAAAAAATGTCTTTGAATTTCGAAAGTTTTATGGCACTGGAAAATAATTAAAAAGAAATATCAAATAAAAATAGATTTATGCCAAACTAGCATTAAATCAAACTTTTTTTTTTGGGGTTAATCTGTGGAAAATATGACAACACAATTTGTTGGTAACCTTTTTTATTGAGCAGGCTGCATATTTCTCGTTACTTACTAATTATACTCTTTCATTACAATATCGTTGATATCATAAAAAATTTCATTTTAAATCAATCATTTTCGATATAGTAACTAAACTCAAACCCGATCAGTAAAAGTCGGCCACTGAACTAGATATTTAAACAAAATATGTAATGTAAGAGGAGATAACTTGAATCATTATGAAGCACCAAAAATTACTGCTAATATAATTTTTACCAAATTTCTATAACTTTAGGAGGCACATTCTGACCTATTCTTACAAATATTTCTGAGCACATTGCACAGACGATGTGGAAAAAGCATGTAGAGTAACAAAAAAAAATTAACAAAATAAGAAATGAAGGATGCAGTTCTCTACGAAAGAACTTTTTAAAAAGATCTTTTTATATCCTTATGTACCATCCACATTCATAACGAATTTAAATTTGCGACTAGAGATTGAGCTTTTTTAGTCTATTGTTCAGTCTTTTTTAAAATGAACATGAAAAGGACTGTTGTTTTTGCGTTCTTCACAACATACGTTTATTCAAATATTAAAAGTCCTAAAAGCCAGAAAATCAGAAACTTATAACCTGACTATTTCTACCAAAATACTTCTTATTCAGTTGCTAAAATTGAATACTTGAAGACCACGTGAAACGTGCTATTCTCAAGTTTTAAGTGTTATTATGGCATAACAATTTTTTTCAAATATTGAGTATGTACTTTAAAAATCAACCTGAAATTCTGACTTAACGTTTTTGACTATCCCATCCGTTAAGTTTAGTGACAAGTATTAACAATAAATTTAATTGAAACTTTAATAGTTAAAAGATTGATAGGTATTTTTTATAGTAATGGAAGCAAAAAATCTAATACTATATAAAACTTCAACATGAATGAGAATAATGAATTCTGCCCGTTCTACCACATTTTGATTTTACAGCAATAGTTCATATGAAGACGGTTTGGTCCAAACCACTTGCCATTTGACGTTATGAGCATTTAAAATAGAAAATTTTTGTTATAAAAATAATGAAATATTTGAAATTGGCCTCAAAAATACAATAGAAAATATAATTAACATAAAATTTATAACAAAAATAAATGCAACTTCTTGTTTAGTAAAACAAAACAGAACAATAACAAAAATAAAATATAATAAATTAGAACAAAAATGTAAAGTATTTAATAATGATGGATGAATTCATCTGCATTATTTTTAAATATTACATTTTTTCTTCAATAAACTTTGTATGCTTTCGATTTTACTGTAGTTTTCAACTGTCAAAACGGAGTGGTTAATTCAAATTCAAAACATCACAACCCCTTCGCAGAAAGTTGTCAATAACGGATCTATTTCGAACCCTGCCTGCGTAGTTGACAATCAAGTCATGCATATTAATCAGAAGTCAGGCCGACATCGTTTCCACGAATGAAGCTTTTAAAAAAGCATGGTTTCGGTTGTTACAGCGTCATTTATGTGAATTCAGATTTTCATCTTTTACAAATATCTCAAACTGAAATTTTTGAAAAAATAACGGCTAGGTATAAAAACAAGTCATATTTTATAGCAATTAAATTGGTTCGAGGTCAAATATCGTCTTTGTTGCAAAATAATTGGCTCGCTAAAAACAATTTATTCTTCTAATAATAAAAATTGCAGGATTTGCGGTCTAATGTAAAATACTTTAAAGTGACTCATTATACCCCACACCTTTAGTCAGTTTATCTGCGTTCGTTCTAATTATTTTTTCTAATTATATTAAATAAACATAACACCAATTTTCACCCCGACTTTTTTGTACATTAATACAAGTGCTGAGCAGAATACAATGTGCTATGCTTTTTTCATGAAAAATGAAAGATGTGCCCAAGATCTCACAAAAATTGACTAAAGACATTTTATTTCCAAATAGGAATCTAAACTAATTAAATGTAAAACACCATGTTCCACAATATTTACATTGACTAGTAGAATTTAACATGTATAAATAAAAATGAGAAGTAGACCCCATTTCAAATGTTTTTTGAATGATTGTACAATGATATAATCACATTTATAGAAGGAAAAATAGAAAATTACCAGATTTCTGGTAATCTCTAACAACCTCCAAATTTTAAAATTAATTAATTAATTATTCAATAGCCACAACTACTTCCCATAAAGCTTAATGGATTTTGTTTTTAAATAAACGACCACACATTCAAAACATTCCCGTACCATTTACCACGAACAGGGAACACAAAAGGAGTAAGAATTTCCAAAAACGTCCCCCCAATAATGAGACGTGTTTTAACACCAGTCATTCATCGCACGTCTTTAATATTCTGCTTCGATCCAAATATCTTGAGCATTTGGTCTTCATAATCAGTAATATTACGTTTCATGATTTCCATACACGGTCCCAAAAGTCGTTCAAAAGCCTCCACATCCAGGACTGCAATGAAAAAGAAATCTACTTAAACCATGATGCAGTTTGCAATTTGCAGTTTATTTAACAGTTGAGTTATTTTGTTTCTGTAAAAATTCACAGTGACACACGAACACAACGACCCAAAAATATATAAAGTGTAAAATTCGCCAATTAAAAAAAAAATAGATTATTTATTCGTTACTTTAATTTTTGACAAAATATAAAACAGGGAAGGATTGTTGTCCATTAAATCGAATTGCAACACTGAATTAAAATGTAAGTGGAAGACAGTCTTCCTGGGAAAGATTGCTATTTGTTTGCTGTCTAGTGAGCGATCAGCATAATGCCCACGTACATCAGATGCATTCACAGTTTTAAAAATAGTCTTTATCCACGTCCACATTATTTAAAAAAAATAACAATATAATATAACCAACATGTATATCTATCGTTAAAGATATATTTTTGCATTTTTATGTGATGCTGAATAAGATGCTTTTGTCATTGTTGTGAAGGTTGACATCGTCTGCTTTAATGCACCTTACAAAGTACAGGGTGGGCACTTTATTAGGGGCCTGCACCTTTTCTCAGTAACTACTGATTTAAAAAGAAAGTTTATACAAAAGTTTTATGGTTTAAATTAGATTTTAAAATTATTTGTTTTTTATATATACAGGGTATCAGATAAGTGCTGGACCGACAAATTAAAATTTTGAACAGAGCACCCTATCTATATATTTTGAAAATTTGCGAATCCTTGCCAAAAATAAAGGTAACTTTTATAGAAACTACTCATTCGAATTTTGTGTAGTTTAGACAGAAATTGGCTTCCACGGCAGGCAGTAAAAACCACTTGATCAAATTTTAAACACATTTTTATAAAACTTCGTTCTAACAATGTTCGATGTCTAGGTATTTTAAAATTATACAGGATGTCTTGAATTAAATATAGTATTCATTTTTTCATTCAATTTTTTTAATGAGACGCCCACATTTTTGATATTTTTACTCAAAGCGGGTCAAAATACTTATAATTTGGTATACATATTATATATATATATATATATATATATATATATATATATATATATATATATATATATATATATATATATATATATATATATATATATATATATATATATATATATATATATATATATATATATATATATATATATATATATATATATATATATATGTATATATATATGTATATATATATATATATATATATATATATATATATATATATATATATATATATATATATATATATATATATATATATATATATATATATATATATATATATATATATATATATATATATATATATATATATATATATATATATATATATATATATATATATATATATATATATATATATATATATATATTTGTTATATACTGACATCTAATTATTTTAAAAAAATTTAAAAAACATATAATTCTTATTTTTATATTAATTTTAAGGATTTTTGCAATGGGTGATGGGTCTTTTTTTGATAAGGTAATAGAGCGATTTATAGGTTTAGGAAATCAAAAAATGTAAAATAATATGTATAATTATAAGATAAGTTTAGAAATATAAAACAAGTAACAGTAACAAGTAAAAGCAACAAACAGTAACTGTAACAATCAAAGTAAAAACTAAGGTAAAACATAATAGAAAATCTACAGTAGGTTTTCAACATGTCCATCATTTTGAATAATATACGTTGTAGAAACAACCTCTATATGGTTTATAACATTAAAAACAAAATCGGTGTTATTTAGTTGGACTACAGCTTCTCTAGTACATCTGTGTAGTTCATTTATCATAGTCCATCTTTCTTTATAGACCATATCTTTAATAGCCCCCCATAAAAAAAAGTCCAGTGGGGTAAGATCTGGACTTTGAGGTGATGTTCCATCCAGAGAATGTAATTTTGATTTAAAAATTCAGCGATATCGTTTCTCCGGTGGTACGGGCGACATCTTGCTGCCATATTAATTGAGTACGTTCACAAGCCGGTATTTCATTTACTATTAATGGTTGTATTTCATTTTTTAGCATATTTAAATATCTTCCTGAGTTTAAGTTTTCATTAAAGAAAATTAGCCCTATAACCTTTGATCGGTATATTCCGCACCACACTTTCACCGATCGTCTACCTTGTCGTTTTACTTCCAACACCCTTTTCTTATTTTCATCACTCCAGTAATCTATGTGTTTTTAAAAATTGAGGCTTTTGTATGAAAAATCGACTCATCGGTCCAAATTATATGACGCAAGGCGCAATAAATTGTCCCATGAATCGTTGAAACAATTATTAAAATTAAATAAAATATGAGAAAGATATGCCATTATAAAATAATTGGTTTTTTTCGCAAGCGAGTTTATTCCAAAAAATTTCGAAAACCATTAGATTTAGGTATAGGACATATATATACCAAATTATAGGTATTTTGACCCGCTTTAAGAAAAAAGATCAAAACCATGGGCGTCTCCTTTTAAAAAAAAAATTAATACTGCAAGTGGAAATTTAAAACAATGTCGTTTAATTTAAGACACCATGTATAATTTTAAAATACCTAGTCATCGAAGATCGTTAGAAGGAAGTCTTCTAACAATGTGTTTATAATTTCAACAAGGAGTCATTACTGACAGCCGTGCAAGACTAACACCCTGTAAGCGTCAGATGTCGCTAGGCATTCACATAATACAAAAAATAATAGTAAGCTGTTAATGGTCACTGTGAAAATTAAAAATTACAACGCAACAAAGAACGGTACTTACAAGCTAATTTTACATCTCCAGACGCAAACACAGATGCAGCACGAGGTCGATGAGTAACCAACGCAAGTTCACCAAAATATCCTCCTTTACCAATACGATTAATTTCAATTTCTTTGCCACTATCATCTAAGACGCTAACAATAACTTCCCCAGATTCGAGAAAGTACATTCCGTCAGCAGCATCACCCTGTGATAAAATATAAATGATAGGTGGCTCAAATTAAGGCAGAATTAAGGTGAGAGTCGACCAGCCTGATAATATTCCATTACAAAATGAAACCCATTATGTAAAGAATTTTTGACTCGGACAAAGAGAATGTTTTAAGCAGTGTTTTGCAAACTTTGATTTTTATTAAAAAAATCAAAAATCATTGATTTTTTTATTTTAATTGATTTTTTTATTTCATAAGAATAAAAATATGTATTTCCAGTTTTTTTTGTAGCAATTACAAAATATTTTAAAGAAACTATAAACAATATAGTACTATATACACACTAAGAATTCGACAGAACGCGCTTTTTGCACGGAAAAAGAATCTATAAATTGTCATTCGACAACGCGTATTTAGTTGGTGATTTGTCAAAGGAATGGAATTAGCGGAAAATAGAGCATTAGGCTGGAAAAAAAGAAAATAGCATATAACAGTTTCACATCTAAACAAATCCAAATAAATCTAGGTGTAACGTGTAGTTCAAAGACTTAAAGCACACCTTGATGTTGATGATAATAAGCAGAATAAAACGAATACAGGTAGGTAAATAATATTTTATTTTATTATTACTTATTGCATTTTTATCTAACTTTCCATCTCGTAAAAAGTAGAAGTATGGTATTCACAAAAACGTTTTCAAAAGAATTAACGCATTTATTATTTTAAAAATGTCACGCATATTTTATTTAAGTTAATGTTTATAATTTTTAGATACTTTCTTATTTTTATTTTCTACGATACATAAAAAAAGTATTTCGTATTCATATAGTGTAATTTATTTACCTTAGGAAAGAATGTACAATGTATTTAAAAAAAGTTGTATGTATAAGTATAAATTTAATAAAATCCAATAAACCCTTTACTAATTTTTTAAAGGAAAATTGGGCGCGTATTTGGTTTACCATTTATTAATAATGGTATAACAGTTCTGTAGATCTTACTACTTAGTGTGCCTCGAGTTCCACAAGAGATTTGTCAAACCTTTGGAAATTTCCGCAAAGTCCAAACAAAATAAAAAAAACTGAAAATCAGCCTAATTTCAGTAGGTTCGTAATGCGAACATCACAGCCGAAAAAGAAATGTTTGACCAACAAATAACAAAGGCAACTTTTCCTAGTAACTTTAGTTTTCGATGTATTGAAAACTCTGAAGCAAAAAAAGCTCTTCACTTATTAAGACCTGGTTATAGGCCGCCACCAAGAAAAACGTTATCAACAAGCCTACTATAAGAAGGAAAAGGCAAAATGTGTTTCCTCTGTCAGGATGAATACGTCCATTTACAAGTGGTGAAACGTCCACGGTAAGCCAGTTATATGTGCAAGAATAACAACTAAAGATGGACGAGCGCTTCTTTACAAAATTAATACTTCGGGAATATCTGATGTACTCTGCCAAGACTTACAAATACCGGATGTCAGGGAACATGTAGTCCAAATTATTAAGTATTTTCGCGATAATCATCTAGCTAAAGCGAAATTCAGTCAAACAGGAGGCAAAGCTTTAGATTAGCGTTGCTGATGGGATATATTATTCAAAATCTGCGAAGAAAACAAAGCCAGATTCAACCATTAAAAATAAACAATAATATTTATGCATTTTAAAACCAATACCTGATGCTCTTGATATTTTGTAGAGAAAAAACTACGATCTCAGATGCTGTAGAGCAATGGGAACATTTTACAATATCACTTCAAGAATGTTATAGAATTACCATTATCAAAAACACAAACACCTAAAGAAAAGAATCTGGCTTTGGATACAAATAATTTATATAGAAACACTGGACTTTTGCCATTAGTAATAAAGTTGCAGTTCCCATTTAATCAAAAAATACGTTTTCGGGTGAAATAATAAAAAACGTAAATGGAATACAGCAGTGCACATCACAAAAGGTTAAGCCAGAAACAGCTGCCAATAATAAAAACAGTTATAGTGTACAACTGCTTTCTCAGTGTCAATAGAACGAACTGTCAGCACTTTTGGTTTTGCACACTCAGATATAAGGAACAGGTTGGGGATAGAAGAAAAGGGTAGTTAGTATTTTTTATTCAAACTATTCAACGAAAATGCAGAAACATAAAATGTATATTATTGTTATTTGTCCTATGTTGTGAAGAGGTCTTTTACTTTTTGTGATATTTTTAGGTTGTGCTTTTTCTGTTGGTCTCAATAAAAAAAAAGATTTAAATCACTTGATTAAAATCAGCCCAATTCTGCTCGTGAGTATTCGTTTTGGTTAACAATCAAAATTGAAGCACAAGTCTTTGGTGAAAAATATGAAATATTTTTCTTAAATCTTTACCTGTTTTATAATTCTCTCTCCAGCAGCAAAAGACTGTGGGACAAGTGCATCTGCGAGATTCATCCGTTCATATGGTTGCAACGTCTTAAGCATAGGAACACCTTCGATAAGTGCCTCATACATCTTCCTTTTTCTGAATGCAGATTTTAATACAATTCGCCTGCAAAAAAGATTTGATAGCGTGTTTTTTGTGTAAAAAACGAAAACTGCAAATAAAGCAACCAATAGAGATTTTTGTGTGAAATAATTACTACCTAGATAGAGATTGTGTCCTCACAGGAATAGTCTGTAGATATATTTTCTGCAAAGAAGCTTGTTCTGAGTGATATATAAAAACTGCATTATTGTAAAATTGAATGCCCTATACTTTATCAACTCTAATGAAATACATTTAGTGCCGCTTCACAGGTTTTGCTCAAGACGGGTTATCAGCGCAAACAATGAGCGCTGATTTACTATACGTTATGTGCTGCTTTCACATGCACATCATATGGAAATTAACACACCAGTAGTTGTTGAAGTTTTTGTTTCATTTTATAATCATCTTATCTCGTGTTACTAGTTTCAATATATAGTACTCTTTGTAAAACGTGACTAAAAAAAAAATTCATAAAGTGCAAAGTATTGATATAGGAATCAGCAGCTTTCATATGTTTCATTTTCCATAGACATCTAACCTACTATCTGGCATGAATTACCCTGTTATGTGTTTTGTTATTTATTACTATTGTTATTGGTTTTATGATTTATGATCCATGTAATTTATAAAAAAGTGTACTAGCAACTCAAATTGCTTAATATGCTTTAAGGCAACCCAAAAACCAACCAAATTACCTGAATGTTTGACGATCCATTGCCCACAAAGAGCCATCACTAGCAGCTTTAATTGTAGCTGCACGAGGCATATTGTAAAGTAGCGCCAGTTCACCAAAGCTGCCGCTATTATCGTAGGTGTGAATGTGTACTGGCTCTTGACCTGGATCACTGGCTACCAATGCGTGGAAGATTCCACTAGAAAGACGCAGGTGTGAAAATACAAGTATTTAGCGCTAATTCCCATTAACATCTAAGTCAGTGGTCGCCAACCTCTTCATTGCGTTGAGCTACTTTGTTAATTTTGGAATAAACAGTGAGGTACTCCCACACGAAAGCCCCATGACAATAAGATTTTTTTGTGCAATTTTGAAGCTTCTCTGATTTTTGCCGTTTCTATTTTTAAAATTAAAATACTTGTGAGAGCTACCAGAATTTTTTCCGCGAGCTACCGGTAGCTCGCGGTCGACAGGTTGGCGACGGCTGATCTAGATGATACAAACTTTTGATCATGGCTCAACAACTAACCTTTGAATAACATAAAAATTATCCCCATCGTCACCTTGTTTGATCACTAACTCGTCTTTAGTTACTTTCCTTTCGAACATCGCATCCAATACTTCATTCATCTGCTCTTTATCGAGAGAACGAAAAAGTAAAATGTTTCTCACTGCCTCTGACAAGCGTTGCCGTTGTTCATCCGATTTGGGAAAAATTGTCCGAGTACCGTCATCATCATCATCCTCTTCAGGGTTGTATGTTTCGGCAAAGACAGACTTACGCCTAGTTTGAAAACGACCCACTGGTGGTTCTGAAACATACAAAGGCATCGGCAACGACAATTACGGTCAAAACTAACACAAGAAAACAAATTTTTGATTGCAATTTGTGCATAACTGACCTCAACAAAATTAACGTTTATCAATTGTTTGCATCGGAAATACACATATAATATAATACCAGGAAATAAGACGAATACATCCGAATGATGACACCAGCCAATGCCATAAGAATTCGCGGTATCATTGCTAACTTAATAGTCATCTTTCCTGAATAAGAAATAACAGCAATGCAAATATATTAAAAGTAGTACGGTAAACAACCCCGCTATTATTATAACTAATAAAATATATGGTGGACATTTTACTTAACGGAAACTTAGTGGAACTAAAAATTTATTTTGCTCAAAAATAATGAAGTCACTAACTATTTACACTATACTCGATTATTTATATTTGCGCGTTCTGACTTGCTTCACTTCTCTAACCCACTGGCCGCCCAGCGGCGCCAAACTAGCTGGCCTGGCCCTTCAACTTTGAGCCAACCGTGCATCTGGTAGGTCATATTGTTGAGGTTTAACAACCTAATCTGTTCCCAGCTTGATACGAGATACAAGTTATATTTATTGTGCTATTATACCAATAAAAGTATTTACACTCGTCCATGATATAGTCTTACTAACTACTGTTTACTTATTTCTGGTAGATATAAACTAATCCATACAATTAAAATTACTAGTTACATATGTTTAAAAAAAATGAAAAAAAAATATTTACAGTTCGACAAATACTTCACAAGCGTTGGATGAGGATTTTTTTCGCTTATTTCTTAAAGTATGGGTTTTGCGTCTGACGACTTGTTGAAAAATTTTACCGCATGGTACCATGAGCCACCCTGCCATTTTAGAAGTCTAGTATAGTTTGGTTTATAGGCTATTCTGTTCCTTGTGTTGCAGTTGTTAATCTCACTTTTTTTTTCTATATTTGTTTTGGTTAGAATTACCTCCAGCTTTCACATCATACTGCTCCTTATCTTGTTGCTAAAGCTTTGGCTGTTCAATAAGACCTGCTTACCTACCTCATTCATCTTTTGTTCACATAATCGTCCCCTAAGGTACTACTTTAATCAGAGCCTTGTCTGTTGTTTCATGAATGGCCGAGCTATATGAACACAGGACACGATGTAGAACTTGGTCCCAGTATTTCTGATGGCCAGAGACTACCATTGACAGGTAACGGTTCATTAGACATCACACTGGGTGTGAGTGAGTTGTCCGAGTTTGCCTTATGTTCATGATCTTGCACACTTCTTGACAAAGGTTGGACTCAAAATTTCCTCCTTGATCGAAATGCAACTGCAATGGCACATGGAATCGGTATATACAAACACGTTGGCAAGTCACAGTTGCTTGGTCCCATTTGGAGTAGTTTTCTGGCCAATTACTGAACTAGACTGTCATAAACAATCATGTATTTATTTCTGTCTCAGGAAACATCAACATCAAACCATCGCAATCACACCTTCCGCGTTCTTTAGGACACGTTCCAGGGAATTTCCCTGAGCCCAATATGATGTTATCTTCGAGGAGTACTGGGCAGTTTCTCATATTTTCTTATAACAGAGAAGAAGCACTATTAATAATGCGATTTAAAAATAAGATCGTTAGGTTATATTTTTGCTTATTTAAGAAGAAAGACCAGAATTCATAAATCAACCAGAAGATTTGAACCCGAAAGATGATCGAATTCTACAACCTATAACAGTGGAAGAAGTTCAAAAGCTTTAAAAGATATAAAAAATAGAAAGGCGGCAAGTCCCGTTGAGCTGGTTAAAAATGGAACGGAAAAATTACTTCAACTAATGGCAAAAGTATTTAACAAATGAATTTTAAATGGAGACAATATTCCAAGGATTGGGGAATGGTATTGTTTGATTCACTAATTAGCTCTAAATGGAGGCTAGATGTAGTCCTGAAAGGTAGAATAGAAGGTCAGTTTCGAGACATTGAAGAACAAAACGGATTCCGAGCCGGTCAATCTTGCTTGCATAAAACTTTCATAATTCAGCAACTTGTTCGAAAGATAATTGCAATAAACATGATAACCCATTTAATGTTCATAGACTTAGAAAAAGTATATGATACCGTGTCAATAAGCAAATTGTTCAAGATATTACATGACTCTGGAATAAACAAGTCATATGCAAGAGCATTGCTAAACATATACCAAAACTCTCTTGGCATAATAAAGGTAGGAAATTGAATATCATGGCCGTTCAAAATATTGAAGGAATTAAAGCAAGATTGTTGTTTCCCCCATCTTCTTCAAATAAAAAACAGCAATAAGATCATGTACACCTTGCTGTTTGCAGACGATCAGATATTCAAAGTGGGGACTCAAAATAAACACATCTAAAACTGAACATCTAGTAGTAGAAGCACCCCTTTCAAACATACAACTCGGAAATTCTATAATTAAAGGCTGTAGAAAGTATAAGTACCTAGGAAACTATATTAGTAAAGACGGAAACACCGAAATATTTAACAACAGAATTACAGCAGGTCCATTTTCTGGTCAAAATCCAAAAAATCAACAAAGCTATTATTGAACCCATCACCACACATGGATCAGAAAATTATCAAATAACAACTAGAACAAAACGCTTTAAAGCTGTAGAAATAAAACTTTTTAGATGAGCATTAAGAAGATCCCGAATTAGAAAAAGAGCAGGCATAAAAGACGATATTTTAGACAGGGCGCAGATAACTGATATAGTATGACCACATAAACAGAATGGACAGAAATATGTGGCCTAGACAACTCCTAGATATACGCTGACAAATAGGAGAAAGAGGGAGAACCCACAAATCTTGGACAGAGGAATTCAAAATGCCATGAGAAAGACAGAAATGAACTAAGAAGATTTTCACAATAGAGAAGATTATGATTATATTAATCGTAATACATTTTCTTATTTGCAACTTTCGTAATAAATTCATACTTCTCGAGATATAGCCGAAAGCTATTCTTAGTGCAAAATTTCTGGCAAATAATCAATTTCCGTGAAAACATTCGCTAATAATACCGCAACTACGAACAAATAAGACTACGAAGATTTTGACAAGGAAGGAGAATTTTGAACCCAATATTCCTTCGTGAATTCATTATAAGGACATGTTTGACATTATACAAACAAAAATAATTTAACGCCATTTAGAAAAAGACACAAAAATGTTTGGTTCCGAAAAAGATACTAATCATAGCTTAAAGGGGAAATATGCCAAATTTTGTCTCCGACATATTAGGTTGGTTGACATCTTTAAAAAATAAATAAATTAACAACATGGTTTGGACTTAAAATTCATGCCTTCTATTTAAATTTGCGATACAATTTTGTGCTTTTTTCTGGAAAACTGCCGTTTTAAGATAGTTACTAGGGATTTATATTCTTTTTTTCAACACAACCAACTATAAATAAAACTAATAAAGAGTACTAATATATTATGTTCTAAAAATTCAACTATTTTCTTTACTGTTTTTAAGGAGTTAATAAATTTGTGGTTCAGATCACAATTTCTTCATTTTTTATTCACTTATCTTTTTAAATCTTTAATTTTGTAATTTACATAAATACCGTGCATATAGGTGAACCTCAATTTTTCACTTTTTCTATAAAAATAAACATTGGTTTAGGAAATTGTTGTTGCTCATAATAATTAAGTGTAAATTTGGTTTGGTGAATAGAGGAAACAAAGAGAAATATAGACTCAGAAAACATTTTAATATATATAAATCTGCTATACCACATTCACAGGATACTGATATGATTCCAAGGTAAAGCATAATTCAATACCGCACTTTAAATAATTCACTTAAAGTATTAATAGACATACCCCGTGCCAAAATTCACGATGTGAACACAAATGTTATAGTGCCAACTGAGGAACCGTATTGTCATTTTTTTAAGCGAATAAGACACCAAGAAAGCTCCAAAAAGGATTTCTGTGATAATTACCAATTTTAAGTAAAAAAAAAAAATGATTTCACCAGGTTTGAATAACAATTTATTGTCTTTTCTATGATTGAAAATTTTTGAAATTCTGGTTAGTTAGCACATAAATATTAGTAATTGAAACTCAATATTCTATGAAAGTATCTCTCTACATTGCAATCATGATGATAAAATCCAAAACTCAAAAATTTTACCTTCCTCTCGTGATAATGTAGATTCATCTGGAGACAATGTATCAGAAGGACCTGGACCATCATAAAACAAAGCATTTGTCCTAGTTTCCCTCAATCTATTAAAGTAATCTGCAGCATAAGAGACTACATCTCCAGGTTGTTCAAGCAAATAACTAATCGTAAATTCCAGCAACACTTCGCGTAATTCCTCTGGGACATGCACCCTGGCCCCCACACTTCCGCCACGATTCATTACTCCTTGGTTCCTGGTAATGTTGTTGAAATTTAATTATACTTATTGGGATGGGTTTATGCCAAAACTTAGTATTGCTCAGTAATGTCAGAACACAGCCATTAATGTCGAAAATACATATAATAAATGCCGTGCGATATATTTTTTTAAAATCTAAAGTCGTATAACTTCTTATACAAACTCATAACATCCAATAAATTAGAGATCAATTTTCATACACTATCCAACTTCCAATTTCCGAAATTACTGCAATGCACTCTATACGAAGTATTATACTAATTCCACAAGTATTTTTCACATGAAAACAAAATTTTCACATATAACCACGAGAAACTGTATTACTGCATCTCCGAAGTTTTTTATAAATGATAAGATAGGCGTTCCGACAAAAAAAATGAATTCCTGGACTATCGATCAATGATTAATGATCCTCTTGTGTCAGAGAACACATGATTCGTCAGGCAACTCTGCAATTTAATTAAGGTCAAGGACAAACATTTCATAAAACGAAGAATATATTTTCTTGAAAATTCAAATTAAAGTTCAGGCAACTCTAAATTGTATTCAATTGGATACAGATTACCTCTGTCAGTCTCGAACTTTCGTTTTCTTAGCCTACTTTTTAAATTAGTTTCCTTCTAGACAAAGACACGTTTAATTGATGACTAAAGCTCAAAATTCAACATTTTTATTTCCAGTTAACCACGGATCGACCGCAGATATGATAACCACACAATTGCTAAACCAACAATAATTGGATTTAAGCTGACTTTATCTGTGGTCCCTACTCAAATTAATTCGGGTTCTTAGCTTCTCTAAGCCCGAAAGAAGAAGTGTTCTCACTTTTCTGTTATGGCAGCAGTCAATCACCTAACTAAGCCAAGAAGTCGCTATTATCCATCTTAGGTGCAAAAATAAACAATTGAATTGGTATGTGTTAGTGAGCACTTGCTACAAAATAAATTTGCAAATTATTGTTTTTAACAGTTTACTTGGTTTAAAAGAGAAATGGAAAAGAATACTCAAGACACTCTGCAACAAGATTTACAAGAAGAGACGCAATTTGTGGTTGATGATATTAGCAAAATTATTAAAGAAGCCATCGAGACTGTGATAGGAGGAAATAGTTATCAAAACTCAAAAGTAAACAATTGGACCACAGCAGTTGTTGAAGCATGTACTTCTGAACTTACTAAACTTATGAAGCCATACAAGTACATTGTTACTTGCATTATTATGCAAAAAAATGGAGCGGGCTTGCATACTGCCAGTTCCTGTTATTGGGATAACAATACTGATGGGAGTTGCACCGTTCGCTGGGAAAATAAAACCATGTTTTGCATTGTGTCAGTCTATGGACTTGCTATTTAGAGTTTAAATATATCTTTTAAGACTTCCTTTTGAGGCGAGATTTAAAAAAATATGTCCCCAAATATTCAAATTTTGACAAAACAGTGTTTTGATTGCACTGGACCACAGAAACAAAATTAAATTTTATTATTTTAAATCTTTAATGGGTATGTTCTTATGCAATAAAATGTGCAAAATTAATAGTAGTTTATTTTAATATCAGCAGAGATTTAAAAAAACACATTTCTGAATTATTATTTAAAAATTTGTTTAAATTACTCTACTTGAAATATTTTTCTTGTAGCATTCAAAACTACACAATGGTGCTCCAGTTTTTGAACAACAGTACTTTTTCACATTTCCACAATTCATAGTACAAAACACAATTTTTTTAAGTTCAGGTGCAACCTGAGAAATTATGGGATAATCTACACCAATAGGTACTGCTAGAATTGTTGACTTTAAACTTTGTTTATAAAGTAGGGTTGGAATGCTAGAACGTATTACTTTTGTTTTAGCTTGTTTGGCTGCTTTAGAATCTTGTTTTTTTAATAACCTTTCCATTGTTTTCTTTTTGTCCTTTTCTCGTTTTTCATCAGCCAGTTGCTTTCTTTTCAATGATTTAATAGCTGCTTTTTGAATGGCCTCAGCTGTCATCACCTTTTCTTTATATCCTGTTGGTAATGACATCAATGTTGTAGAAGTATTACCATCTACACCTCTGTCATACATGGCTCTCTGCCTAGCAGTCATTAAAGCTGGATCTTTTCGCTTAATTTTTTTTAGTTCATCGTCAACATCTTCCAATTTGCCAGATTCAATAGCTGTAAGCCAACGTTCTTCATCACTTGATCCACTATCTCGTTTTTTCCTTTTTTTGTTAAGATTGTTTGTGACGCCTGTGGAGCTCGTTGGTTTACTTATAGGAACCTTGGCACTTTTTGAGCCTGAACTATTTTCGTCCACAATCAAGAGCTCATTCGGAATGGATTCTTCATCAGTAGCAGCCATTTTATTCTTTTTTGATTTACCTTTCTTATTATTACAAGTAGTTTTTTTAGTAGTGTTTTCGTCTGGATCCATTTAACGGAAATATTTTGTTTCAATTAAAAATTGAAGTGTTAAACATAAATAAATAATATCTATTATGTCAAGTTTAACGACAAACAAATTCACTCGTTGGTCAGGGACGGTAAACATTAACCGAATTCCACCTACAAAACCAAAGAAGCGATCTTACTGATTAATAAAAAAAAATAGAAGTCGGGTTGACCGATGAATAAACACTTCGTTGAATGTTATTTTCTATTACCGATTATTAGCTCACCGCAGTGAACCATGATATAGTGTCCATACAGTAAGCACAAAATATTACAACTTAATAGTGGTCTGTACGGTAGGAAACATAGTACAGAATACTCAGATTACAGCTACACGAATGTCGTAAGTTTTTTTTTGTATCGTCATTGTTGCACTTCAAATTGACGGGCTACGCTGTGTTCACCATTTGCAAAAGTAACTTACTTTTAAGTCATCTAGGAAAGGATAGTGACTTCAGCGATTTATTTCTTCGAAAGCACCATGCGGTGCTGCTCTTAGATAATTTTGCTGCAGTGACGTCACCTGATATCCTTTAAACAAGTTTCATACGTTATTTGTATCTTGGGATAATAGTCCTTAGATATTATGTTATTTTGATTTTCAATAATTTTCTACATATTGTATATCATCCTACTAAAGCAATATTTTCATATGAATTTTGGATAGTGGTCACCCTGCCTAGTTAGATTCTTTTCCACAATGATGTTTTTACGTCATTAAGCAGTATAAATAACGAAGTTGAATAAAATTCATCAGTCTGGTAGTAAACAATAAAACTATATATTTTATAAAAAGGCAACAAAAAATTTGGGAAAAATAATCTTTCAATATCAAACTTTATTTTACAAAACAAGGTAACTAATACCAAATTTTTAGACTTAGTGCACCGTAGTAACGTACACTTCATTGGTCGCATTCAGCGGACGTAGCAAAGCCCTCCCGATACGTAGCGGTAGCGATTGGACATTTGAATTTACATAGCCATGGCTGAAACGTCCGGTGCATGTTGCACTACAAATCCATGTTGTGGGGTGGACGCCATTTTTAGTAGCAAGTTTATTTTTGCTAGGTGGCAGTAGCGAAGCGATCGGTATTGGCAGAATTTCATCTTGAAAGAGGAATTTGGTTAGGGTGTATTGGACAGTGATGGTGGGTACAAAATTCCAACATAATAAATTTGTTATTTGTTATTATGTATGTTATTATTCGTATTTATAAAATTTACAATAATTTTTTTAAGGGTCCCAACGGGGAAGTTTTTTCGAAAACCCCACGAATTTTCGAAGATCGTATGAAGGTATGTCTTTTTTTCAAACAAACGGCAAACTTTTTTTAAACCAAATTACACTCACATGAAATAGAGATGCAATTTTAAGTTATTTGCAGAATGTATTTTCACTGAACCGAAGAAATATTGGACAGGATATGGAGAAACTTGAAAAAAATCTACACAGGCACCAAAGACAATCTAGGGAAACCTGGAAGGGGTATAATTTACTAGGAATATTATCACCAGATTGATGAAATACATAGGGAGGACAAAACCGTTAACCTCCTTAACCTAATACCTCTACAATGGTGCCCCTTGCCAAAAATAAGGACCCACCCGCTATCCCAGTGACTTCATAGATGGATACCACTCCAAAGAAGTAAGAAAATCCAGGAGGAAAGAAATAAAATTTTACACTTATGTGAATTACAAAAAAAAAGAGCAATAATTCGAAAACATATTTTTATTTGTTATAAGGGCATATTTGCTATTTGGTTGCTTTCCTCATTTCCAACCTCATCTGCAATATCCACTTCCAGGTGTGGTAGATCATTTTCTAAACATCAAATATCTCGCTGCTCTGAAACGCGCTGGATGTGATAAATCCTAAAAAGTTTACAAATGTAGACCTCGAGAATATTTTAAGAATAAGTTCCCTCCATAATTCCTTACAGTCTTGCAATTCTTTGGTATCGGACACCTTCATTATCCTCAAATATTCGAATTGGTTCTGCTAATTCCAAAGCCATTTGATTAAATTATCCTCCGTCATTTCGTTTTCTATTAAAATGTACATAACATCCTTTCTACTAATTTCTGATGTAGTAGGTCCTAGAGTACAAAGATGTTTCCACTTTATTAACACATGTTAAATCAGCAGCACTACACACAAACACTGAAAAAGATATACCTTCCAGAAAAATCTAAATCTAAAAATCAACACCCAAACAAAAATAAGACACCATAACCTCTACATACCTACACGTTGCCAATAGCTACCGCTACGTATCGGGAGCGTTTTGCTACGCCCGCTGAATGCGACCATTACCGTTTGCGGTCGGTCATAATTATTTGCTAGCAGAACTAATTATCTTATCGGTTTATTATTCCTGGCATTTGCTTAAGAGATGTGCTGCGAATTATCTTGCACCCTTTGTTATTATAATACTTAAGAAGAATTAGAACTAGTTTTGTTTAGGGAATTGTTGGTCGAATAGTCCTTGTAAGTCGTATAAATGAAGAAAAGAAGAATGTTTTGTTTCTATTTAAGTAGATAAAACAGCTTAGAGCATGGTACCTGTGCAGTGAACGTTGGTTTTTGGTTAAACTGTATTTTAAAGTATATAGCATATTCGATATTTCCTCTTTTCGAAAAAATTTAAGTCGGCCGTAATGAAAGACGTAATAGATGTAATGGAGCTGCAGCGAGAAAAGTCTCGAAGAGTAGTACCACTAGATTACAAACAACTGGATTTTAATAACGGATTCACAGCAGCAAGATTTATTTTTGAATGTGGAATTAAACTAAATGGACAACCTCTTACTCTAGCCACAGCTTGTATGATTATGCATCGATTTTTTAAAGAACTTGACCATTCATGTTATGACACATTTGTAAGTTATTGCACCTGTCAGAAAAAACAATGTTATTTGCTTCTTATGATATATGTTCATATGAACTTTTATTTTCTTATGTAGTGTTTCAGCTGTAAGTTTTGTACACGTCAAATGAACTTAAATTTTAATTCTTCCTTTCAAGCTTATTGCAGCCTCATCATTATATCTTGCTGGCAAAGTTAAGGATGACCCTTTAAAAATCAGGGACATAATCAATGTAGCTCATAACACTCTGCATCGCGGAAGTAGCCCTCTCGAGATTGGAGACGAGTATTGGAATATGCGGGACGCAATTGTCCAAGCCGAATTGTTAATTATGAGAGTGTTAAAATTTGAGGTTGGCACTACACATCCACATAAGTATATGTTGCACTATCTTAAAAGCATGGAAGGATGGTGAGTGCAAAATTTGACAAATATAAATGTATAATTTCTAAAAATTTAATTAATTAATTCTTTAAAGACTTAACCAAATTAAAATGTGCTGTAGTTCATTATTTGTTCATGTTTATGTATCTGTGGTGTATTTTATTTATTACAAAAGACTATTAAATTAATTTTTAACATCAGCTAGAACACGTTAGGTTTTGTATTCATTTCATTCATTGAAGTCATTAAGTTGAGCTTGGAGCATAAGGATACAATTGTGGAACTAATTTTTAACATTAGGAAAAAAGAACACTTACAGAGTTAATATTGTAAATGTAATTGTAAATATTTTCCCCTATTGTAGAAGATATTATGATTAACAACTATAAATGCATATTTTAGGACACAAACCTTTTTGATGGAAGTAATAATATCCGATAATATCATTAAGGTATTCAATATTATACTATAAGGCACCAGGTACCGAACCGCAAAACTAATACTGTTATTGAAGTCATACTAAAATAGTAGGGACAGTTCATAGAAAGTAAACATTTTACTTGCTTGACCGCAATCCTTTTAATCAAGTAGGAACTTTTCCCCAAATCTCTTTTTGCTTTCACACTGTTATTTATCAGCAGATAAAACGCCCTTATACAGAGGTGCGGACTCATATTGTATAAGCTGTCTAGTGGATGATTGCTTTTTGTTATTAGTTGATGTTGATGCGGTATGGGAGTTGTAAATATAATCTTAAATTAAAAATGGATAAATACTTTTTCATAAACAGAAATAATGTAATAGATTTCCTGTACCTTCTAAAAATCGCCAATAAACAAGTGTTTTTCAACATTAATTTTCATGGAATTAAAATGAACTATGGTTTCAACTCCAAAATCAAATATTTTGAAATATTTTTAAAAGAAGTGGCATCTGTGTTGCTATAACAGTAGTTAACTTGTTTGGTTCTTGTTAAAAATAGGCAACAATTAATGTTTCCCTTAAAAATTTGATTCCAGGTTAGGCAAACAAACATGGGAGACAGTCCCTGTTGCAAAACTAGCACAAGCATTTCTCCAAGATTTTCACCATGATCCAGCTATTTTGGATTATCCAGCACAACATATAGCAGTGGCATGTATTTCCCTGTCACTGCAGTGTTATGGAATTCAATTACCCCTTATGGAAGAGTCTGATGACGAAGCCTGGTATCAGGTTTTTGTTAAGGACTTGCCGAAAGATAAACACTGGGAAATATTGGAAAAAATTATGGAAGCATACAGTAAAGAAGATAAATGAAATAGAAACCATTTAAACTTTGAGTAAAATCAATGAAGTAATATATTTTCTTTAAGACTTCAATTGATTAGACTGTAACACTAGTAAACTATTTTTAAAACGAAGCAAATTTGTCATTTTGTCAATTTTATAATTCAAGAGTGGAAAAATCAATCTTCAATGATGTGATTTCTTGACTCTGCCTGTGTTGTATATTTGTATACATTTTAAATCAGACACTGCCTACTCTGTGACATCCAACAATTTGTGGGTATATATTTCAATATATTCATATTAACTTGTAACATCCAAAAAGCGGCAACGTCGTTTGGAAAAATGCAGACTGAATTCCAGTAAATTTTTCACTATAGTGTTAGTTTAGTTTTACCAAGTAATACCAAACCCAAAAACCGTTTTATTTGTTTATAAAATGTAAGGCATTTTGTTGGACTATTTTCGCAACAAATTAAGATTTTCTCACGCATTCTCTATAAATAACTGTTGCTCTAACTCAGTTAGATCCCCTCAAAAATAGAATTTGAATTTCAAACAATTGAATTTCTTAAAATTTCGTATATTAAACTATTATCTAAACAAGGTTCAGTGTTCCCCTGACATCTTATATAGTGTTTCCTAACTTCTCTGATAAAAGCAAGGAGGAAAATTCTAACCATAATAACCATATACATTATTTATTTTTGCGAAGTTATGGTACTCATTACCAGGGTCTCTGCAAGTGAACTAACTGAAAAGTTTTAAAATGGACAAAGTAAATTAACAAAACTATTATGTATACCAAATATCTCTGAAATATAGTTTACCAGTAATTAATAAAACTTTTTTCGAAAACGAAGCGACATTTCAAAAAATTTTGTACATTTTCGTTTGAAAATTAGGTGACAATTATTCTCCTTCATTTTGTAAGAGATTTGGAAAGACCCTGCACTTTATCAATAAATAAAACGATTTTGCCAAATGGAATCCTGAAACGAATTTCAGTACGCATTTTGGTCACCTTCAATTTTCCTATTAATTTTGCCCGGCGACCAAATTTGTTACATCTTCACTTATAAGAAACATTTGAGAATCAGTTTGAAAATCTAAATTACGGTTCTTGTAGGGCTTACAAAATTTTTCAAAACGAAGTTATTTGGATTCTTTATTTTGCGGAAAACGAAAAAAAAAACTTTTGAAAAAATAAAAAATAGTTGGAAACTTCGTAGAAATGAGGTCCTTTAGTGCCTTATTGTTGTGGATATATGAACACACGGATGTATTAAACTAAAATAACTTTATTAATAACGAATACACTTATTTTAAATTAACACTCTCTCTCATGTTGGGTTAGGTTCTTTTCTGCACCGTTTCCTCTTCTCTTTTTATAGTGGATAAAATGACAAGTAATCACAACACTCCTCCTCGATTTGAAGTTTTACAAATGTTTGGATAAATGAAAATCGTGATTACAAGAATAAACAATTGCAGTGTTATACAATATTACACTTATCTCTAAGTTTTACAAATAAATCCTTGCTCAATTTCCTGTAAGGAACATTTACAATCTCACTATTTTCATTAGATTGAAATCCTTTTTCCATAGGTATAGATTTTCCACTACATTCTTTCATGTTAAAATTTTCCAATAGTTTTTCAATAAATTTTGTTTGCTTTATTTCTCGTTTACCTTGATCTTCCTTTCTGTTTATTGTCATCCCTAAGAAATTCTTGACTTCTCCCATATCTTTTGCTTGAAAATGTTTCTTTAGTAAAAATACTGTTTCTTCAATGTTTTCATTCTTTCCCAGTACTAATATGTCGTCTACATATAATAATATCCAGTTATTTTTACCGCAGTACAAGCAGCAATCATGTCTTGATCTCTGAAAATTGTTTTCAATAGCAAAATTATTAAAAGTTTCATTCCAAACTTTTGGAGACTCTTTGAGACCATATAAAGCTCGATTTAATCTTAAAACTGTTGATTTTGTTTGAAGACCTTCAGGTGGATATACATAAACCTCAGTTTCTAATTTTCCATTTAAGAAAGCTGTAGGAATATCTATCTGTTTTATTTTCCAATCTTTCTGTAATGCTATGGAGAATAAAACTCTTATTGTGGCCATACGTGCTACAGGAGAGTAAACTGGTTCATAAAGATGCTTCTCCTTAATTTGGAAACCTCTAGCCACTATTCTAGCCTTTTTTATGCCATCGTCTTTTGTTCGAAATACCCATTTTGTCTGTATCGGTGTTTTACCTTCTGGTAATTGCATTTCAGTCCAGGTTTGCATTTTTTCATGCGAGTGTAATTCCTTTTTTATAGCTTCCTTCCATTCAACTGTTTTTATCGCCTCATCGTAATTCTTTGGATCATTCTGTGATGTTAGCAAACAATATGCTGAGTAAATTTCATACTCACTAAGATGTTTTGGTGTGTTTATCTTTCTTCCATGTCTTGATGTCTCAGTTTTTGTTACATTTCTGTCTTTATCATTTAAACTTTCTGATTCTATTCCATCATTATCTTCTGATTCATTTATTCTACCTACTTCATTTTCGTCTGCTTCTGTCTCTTTATTGTAATTTTCTTCATCTCTTATTATTATTTTCTTCATCGCTATGTTTTTGTCTTTGACTTCTTCGATTAACTGATTGTAATTTGTCTGATTTTCATCAAATGTAACATCTCTTGAATATATAATCTCATTCCTCTCAAAATCCCAAAGCCTGTATCCATTTAAACCATATCCAGTCATGATACACAATTTTGCACGTTTCTCTAATTTATTTGCTTTTGGTAAAACAACTGAGCATGCCTTACTCCCAAAAACTCTTAATTTTGATAAATTGTTATTTTGATACCATCTTGTCGAGGGAGGAACACCACCATTTGCTTTTGTGGGTGACCCATTTAATTCGTATGCGGAACATAAGATTGCCTCTCCCCATAACTCTTTGGGTAAATTTGTTTCAGCAAAGTTAGTTCTTACTTTATCTAACAAAGTTCGGTTCATACGCTCAGACTTGCCGTTCTGTTGCGGGCTATATGGCAGCGTATACTCAATCTCAATACCTTTATTTTTGCAATACTGTTTGAAATAATTTGAAGAAAATTCACCACCATTATCACATCTAATTTTTTGTGTTTTTTGACCCTGTTGTGTTTTTATTAGCTTAATAAAATCAATAACGTTTTGAGCAGCCTCATCTTTAGATTTTAACAATTTGACTACCAAAAAATGTGAATAGTCATCAAGTAAAACCTGAAAGTACATATGACCTTCTAAAGATGGAGTTGCCACTGGCCCTGCAATACCTGTATGAATAAGTTGACCAATCCGAGTAGTTTTTCTAGTACATTGATAAAAAGTTTTTCTAGTACTTTTACCTTCAACACAATTACTACAAATTTCATCACTATACGGTAAATTTAACTGTTTTAGACCATAACGATTTAAATGTCCTAGTCTCTTATGCCAAATATTTCCTGCATTATCATTTATTACTTTATAGTAATTTTCAGTTTTTAAATTTATAACAATCAAAAATAAATTATTAAAACTTTCACAATAAAATGTAGCATTGTTGTGTATTATTTTTGCATGTTTTCTACTTGTTTTATCAGTTTCAAATATTATTTTAAAACCTTCTGTTAATAATTTTGACACAGAAATTTAGTTATGCGACATACCATTGAATATTAGAGCTTCTAATTTTATTTCTTTACCTTGGCAAATACCACTCAGCGTTCCCTTTTTCTCTGCAACCAACGTCTCCCCACTCTTGGCCGTACCTATTTTTATTTCTGTCTTTAAATCTTGTATATCTGTCATATAGTCTTGCAGTTCACTTGTCACTAAATGTTCAGTAGCTCCAGAGTCCAAAATAAAACTGTTTATGTTGTCATTCAAGCTCACACTATTTAATGCAATAAATGCAACTTGTTTATCACTTTCTTTTAGTTCGTTTGCCTGCTCACTTGTGTTTGCATTCGCACTATACCTACGATTACCTCGACGTGAACCTCTGTAATTTGTAGCAAATCTACCTCTATCTCTATGCCTATTCTGTAAACACTCAAAAAATTTGTGACCTTGTTTGCCACATTTATAACACACATATTGGCTTGTTTTGAATGTAACTTCATTATCATTTCTAATATTATTCCCATTTTTTGATTTCATTTTTAATTCTTCGTCCAACAATCTCAATTTGACAAAATCCATTGTTACATCTGTGTTTAATGTTTCAATCGCCGTTATTACAGGATCATAGTCCTCATTAAGAGACAAAAGTAAGTGGCACACCTTATCCGATTCTTCGATTTTTGACCCAATACTTTCTAATTCTCATATTACAGAGTCAAATTTCAAAAAATGATCCTCTAATTTTTCGTTCCTTTTACATTTTATTGTTAGCAACTTCTTCTTTAAAGTCAACTTCGAAAATATACTTTTCCTTTGAAATACATATTCTAACGCTTTTAACATATGCTTCTCTGAAGTTGAATCTTTAATTATATCAAGGTGTTTGTCACTTACACATTGCACTATGATTGACTTTGCATCCCTTATTTTAAAATCTGTCTTCTCTTTTTCCTCAGCAAAATTTGATACTTCTTTCTCCAACGTATTTTCAATCTGTTTCTCCTCCAGAAATGCTTTAACTCTAAACCTTCAGTTATTATAATTCTGTGCATTTAATTGTGGAAATACCACCGACGACGTGTTACTTACGTAGTTAGGTGTATCGTCGCAACCAAAATAGCATAGAAAAATATCTGAGTTTAGATGTTTTGAACACCTTTTTAAAGAGTTTTACTGAACTTCTAAGCATCTCTGTGCTACGAATTATCTATATACAGTGTACGCGTAAAATGCTTTTTTATACCCTTGTATGTAGACTTAGCTGAGATTAACTTGGGATTGGGATTGGAAGCTGCGTCAAATTAACTAATTAATTAATGGACCAAACAAATTCTGGTCAATATTTAAAAAATGATGTACAAACTTTATTTTTGAAGCAAAATTAACGAAATTTGGTACACATGTTTCTCAAGGAAATCTCCACAGGATGTCCCTATCAGATTTACTTATACCTAAATACGAAAACTTTTGTACGATTTCAATGATATTCAATTCGCTTGGGTATGGGATCTAATACGTTCAGTTTTAATAATATTAAAATCCATTAGGAACATAAGGGTGTGGGGGTTTATGAAAATGTCGTAATTCACAAATTCACACAGACCATGACTTGGGGACACCAATTAATAGGTAATTAATTATTGCATGTGGGGTATATGTTAGAAGGTATATATTGTAAAAATGTTAAAAAAAATCATAATTTAACAGTACTGAAATATTTCCAAATTGTGCTTGCTCGGTACAGCATGGATTAGCAAGTGTTCAAACAGACTTGCAATCTTTGCACCAATTTTATTTCGATTTTTTTAATTTAATCACAAGTCACATAATAATTACTACTGCAAAGCGATTTCAAGACTGTCTTATCCTATTTATCCGTATTTATATTATAAAAGCAGCTGAATATCTCATATCTTCTACTAACAATTCATCATAAGTGGAAATTATGATTATTTGTCATTTATCCACTGTAAAAGAAGAAGAGGAAACGTTGTACAATAGAACCTAACCTAACATGAGAGGGAGAGTGTTAATTTAAAATCAGTGTATTCATTATTAATAAAGTTATTTTAGTTTAATATATCCGTGTGTTTGAGAAAATCGGGGTTGATTTTCGAGAGTTTTTAGTTCTTCATTCATTTTATTTTCTTTTTAGGTAATAATCGAACACAATGGTTATTATTAGTATAATTATAATAATAAGTATTACAGAAATCGAAACACTAGAGTTTACCAAAGTTAAGTGTTTTAGAGGGCGACTAGGTTTCGAGCACTTTCCATATCTTCTTTTATATTTTCAACATTAATTTCTCTCAACTGTAGTGGTTCGATATTTTGAACCAATTCTTCATTAATAACTACTGACGGAAGTTTTAGTCTTAAATGAATTACGTTTCCTTTTTGAGAGTCATTGTTCTTATTTTTAATTTTAATATTACACTCTGGGGGCAGAATTAAAGATGTTTTATTTATTATTTCAACACTTTTATTTGGGCAAAAAAATATATATTTTTTTGGGAATTCGGGATAACTACTGAATAAGTTTCATACTTATTTATAATTCATTAATGATTAATTTTTATTTAACTTTAAGAATTTATGTTTCCTTTAATATTTTTTATAGTTTATAGTTTAAAATTGCGCGCTAAATGGCAACGAAATTTCTACGGGCGACTTTTTACGCGTTCCCCCCTTTTTTTTTGTTTGCCGATAACTTAATTTTCGGGTCGATCAGCAGTCGGTAAAAACCACGCTGTTGAAAAGGTAGTTTTTCGCTGTGCTCGTTCCGCTTTAGCTTGCTGTTTTGCATTTTCACCGGTCGTTACTTTTGTCCAAAGAACATTTTCCGCATCACCAAGGGGTACCCCGAAGACGAACCCAGAATACAAGGCAGCTCCGTGACACCGAGGTAAGTCGCTACAGTTATTTCGTTGCCCCACTCGGGTTAAATAGTTTTCATTTCAAAATTATAATACAGTCCACTTAACCTTTGGTCACATCGAACCGGATCTTATTGGATCATTCCTTTCGCGTTGAATCACTATCAAGTGCCACAATTTCAAAAACAAATAAATTACAAATTCGTTTTTTTAACTCAATAATTTAAACTATCTAATATTAGTTTGACTTTGAAAATTGCACGTCCAAATCGACCGCACGCTTGCTGTATTCGCACGACCATTTTTTTTGTCCATTTAGAACAGCGTTACAGCCACTTCGACCGTTTCTTTTTGTTTTTTCTCTTAACTGAACTGAACTAGTTTTTCGCGATCGCTATACAATGTCCGCTTTATAAAAAAGATCGAAACGCTGAGGAACGTCCAACTTGGTCGTTTGAAAATTGTTCAAGAGTTAGCGCAAGAAGCGCCGCAACACGAAGACAAAAAAAACCTTGTTACAAATAAGATTCTTAGATATGAATGAAATTAGAGATTCATTTAATTTATATCAGACCCAGATTTTGGAAACTTACTCGCAAAGTCCGGATAAATTAGAAGAAGAAGTAGATCTTTATAATCAGTTTAAACATATGTTCTATGATATAAAACATATTCACAAGAACCTTTTCGAACCAACCGAAATAAAACCTACTTTGACGCAGTTTTGCCATTCTACGTGTTACCTAGCTAAATTAAAAGTAGTAACTTTCAAAGGTGATTTAACCGTTTTCACAACTTTTCTGGACATGTTCAATAGCTCAGTCCATAACAATCCCGCTTTAACCTCCATAGAGAAGTTCAATTATTTAATTTCTTCACTTGAGGGTCCGCCACTTAACATGGTCAAACATATTTCTATGACAGATGCCAATTACATAATAGCTTACGAAACGCTTGTGAAACGCTACGACAATAAACGCCTTGCCGCCCAACACCCCTGCTTTGAAATCTGATGATCCACAGTCGTTACGCAACCTATTAGACATATTCTCAGAAAACATCGCAGCTTTGCAAATGCTACAGTACCACACCGACTCTTGGAATTTCCGTTAGCTAATATTTTGCTAGATAAATTAAACGATATTTTGCTTTCGCGCTTTGAACTTGCTAACAAATCCGCTGACAAAATGCCCTCTTACAAAGACATTTTTACATTTTTAGAATCACAATGTAACTCGCTCTATTCGCTCCACGCCACGTCGAAAAACAAAAAACATTTCCTGACGCCATCCTATAAATCGTAATCTAATTTCCAAGGTCGTATCCATCCTACAAACACTAAATCCTTTCTGAACACCAGACCTATTTCGAATGGTAAATGCCTAATATGTAACGACGCGCATACTATTTATAATTGTCAAATTTTCAAATCGAAACCACCTTTCGAACGCTTTACATTCGCTAAAACCAATAAGCTATGCTTAAATTGCTTAAGCCACGTGCATACCATTTCAACTTGTCAGTCCACTATTTCGTGTCGCTTTTGCCACCGTCGACATCATTCGCTACTACATTTCGATAAAAGAGATGACGCTCCAGAACCGCGATCGCATTTCATCACCAATTCGGGTTCGAGCTCGACATTACCCTCTTCTACGGTTTCCGCCCAGTATTCGCCGCCGAATGTGGTACCCAGTAGTTCTCAACCGTCCGGCAATAACAATGCGCCAACCTCACGCCACAACGAGACGCATTGCGGCTTTATTTCTGCTAAATCTCAAATTTTATTAGCTACCACTCTAGTTCAAATTTTAGATGGACGCGGGAACTTCAAAACCGTAAAAGCCGTTCTAGACTCTGGAGCTCAGACCACTTTCGTAACACAAAAATTAGCAAATCAACTCGGGTTGCCTAAACGTCCACTTGTCACCGACATACAGGGTGTAGGACGAAACGATATGACCTCGCAATTAGGTTCAGTGTTTATCAAACTCTATTCCGTCAACGAACCGAAAGTATTCGTATCTACCAACGCTGTCATTTTACTTCAGGTTTAACGATGAAAATTGCACCAAACGCCACATCCTTTCCAAGCTAGCCCGTATTTACGATCCTCTAGGTTTTCTAGCGTCATTTACGTTCTCTTTAAAACACTTAATTCAACAATTTTGGATTCTCGGACTCGACTGGGACCAAGAACCGCCTCTTGAAATTCTACGCAACTGGGAACCCTATAAAAAAGAATTTCACACTTTAGAGTCGTTTTCTTTGCCGCGTCATATGGATTTGAGTGGCGCTGAAGCCGTCGATTTAGTTGGATTTTGCGACGCAAGCAGACGCGGTTACGCAGGCGTTGTTTACTTGCGTATTTTCCGCCAGCATCGATATCATAGTTACTTCGTTACTGCGAAGTCTCTAGTAGCACCCCTTAAAGTGCTTTCCATTCCTCGAATCGAGTTGCTAGCAGCAACTTTGCTGTCTCAAATACTGAAATATCTCTCTTACACCTTCGCCCAAAATATTTCACTACAAAATGTCTACGCCTTCTCCGATTCCATGGTTACTCTGGCTTGGATAAAATCCCATCCTAGCAAATGGAAACCTTTTATCGCTAACCGAGTGAATATCATTCAGGAAAACACCAATCCCGATTGCTGGATGTACGTTCCCACTAAATCAAATCCCGCCGACGTCGCCAGCCGCGGATGTTCCCCTTCCGAGCTTCTAAACCACTCGTTATGGTGGGCCGGTCCTCCTTTCTTACTGTCGCATCTCGCAGAGTGGCCACATGCCGCCAGTAAAATTACCATACCTCACAACATAGACATGGAACATAACCCGAACACTTGCTTAGTTGCGAAAACTAAGACCGACAATTTTATAAACAACCTATTGGAAAGTAAATCCGACCACCGCGAAATTCAACTAATAACCGCATATGTAATCCGATTTATAAACAATTGCAAATCATCCTCCCGCAAGCAACAAAATTCACTAAATTTTAACGAACTTAATAACGCTTTTAGAATTTTAGCTAAACACGAACAGCAAAAACATTTTCCCGAATTTTTTTTCCAAATTAAGAGTAATAAAAAGCTTCCTAAGTCAATTCAAAAATTAAACGTTTTTTTAGACAGCGAGGGGATCATTTCTTTTAACCAAAAGCACCTTATTTTACTACCCCGCGAGAGCAGACTTTCCTATCTGATTGTGCAATTGATCCATCGAAAATATCTGTATTGCGGTATACAGGCTGTCCAATATTTGACAAATCAAAATTTTTGGATCATATCCGCCAAACGTTTAGTAAAAAGCGTAATTTCTCGCTGAATCACTTGTTTTCGAGTAAAACCCCAGTAGAGATATGTATGCTTGGGGACAACCCCACTCCTCTCCCTTTTGTGGACGTGTCCTCCTTACCCACGACTCTTTAGCTCCTCCCCCTTTACCCATAATCCCTTGAAACTGGCTCCCATTGGATAAGCAAGCACCAATGGGGTTTAATCAATCTCCCCACCTCTAGTTTGCGATGGCGGCGAAGCCAATCAGAGCCCAGATATTTTCCCACCCCTAAGAAAAGCAATGGCGTCAATGAGACTTGATCATATTGTTCGCGTGACCATCTGCACCCTCTAGCGGTTCGAATGTAAACTAGTGTCCCCTCTTGGAATAAGATTTTCTTTAATAAGGTAACCCACCTAGTGAATATTGACCAAAACATTTATTTTAAAAACATATAATTCTGCGAATGTGTATCCTCGCGGGTAAAAACTGTACTTTTATTGCGCACAAAGGACAGGGGAAATAAAGACGAAAAGTGTTGGATTTCTTTTCTCGGAACTGGAAGCTGGCAGGCACCACCAATAATATCTGCAAAACAAAAAGCTGGTTAAAATTTTCATTAATAAAGTAGGATATTAGAAACCATATACCTTTTTAATTTACTAAGCCATCTACCGTGCGTTAACTTCATACATATTTCCGCATGCTTCTGTTTTAAGGTATCGTGAGATATTTGACTATTTATCTGGGAAAAGTTCATATGTCGAAAATATTATGTGTATGTGGCCGTGGTAGGCTTTCTTTGCTATTATAATTTTATTTTTATTATTTAATATTGACAAAATTAATTTATCTATCTTATTGATGATTTTAAGATATCGCAGTCAACTTTACTATTTCATCAATTTCTTTTATTTATTGCTGATCTTTGAGGATAGTGTACATACTTTTTTTCGTAACTTATCTGTATCTACCCTTTAATTTCCTATCAAGCCATAAAGCAAACTCGAAAGGCATCTTAACTAAAAAGTCATATACTTTAAAGCTGCTGCGACTACTACATGAAAGTGTGTTTCTATGCAATCTCAACAATAATGAAATCTGGACGCTTATATTAAATACTGTAATACTCTTCTCTGCTAACGCTCTAATAGACGCTATTTGAACCCTGTTCAAAGAAAAACTTCTACAGCCCAAATAACCTCTCTGAACCACACTTAAGCGCATCACTCTTTCACTGTCTTGCAGCCTTCAGATTAATATTCCGTACTAACTACGTATGCCATACACGAAACGTTCTCTTTTCTAATTTTTTTCTATGCGCTACATTAACGAACAGGATCTTAAACTTTTCTGTCTGTGTATTTTGTTAGCCACGTTAAAAAAATTAAAAAAAAGGTATGCGAACCTAGAGGATATTTTCCATATTTTTCACAAATGGTGACAACAATTAATGCAAGTATTATTTTTAATAATAATCCATCTTTCGCTATGACACGAAAACATCGATTTTTTAATTCTAACTTTTCTCATAGAGCTTCCCTTTAGTCTCTATCTGTTCTTTAACTAAATCCCCACCTTTTTGAAAAACCAACCTCTAAAAATAGTTAATTTTCTCTAATATAAATTTGTACGTTTTCCGCAATATGTGTGAATATTTTTGCTAGAGCATTTAGTTACTTAGTACATGTCCTATTCAATATTTTAAAAATATAATTCTATTGATACGTGTTTAGGATTTGAAGATAACGAAACATTCCCCAGTTTCATAAATGAGAGCTCACTGCCAAACTACCAAACATCACAGTACAAACTACCGTACTACGTCCCCCTGGACAAAAGCAGGTTAGTCAGCGTCATTAATTCTACCTGCGTTAACGAATAGCGTATTGTTAATTAAGGTTTAATACGCAGAAAATATAAGCAACAAATAATTGCAATGAAACTCACTAACATCATAAATTATTAAAAAAAAAAATTAGAACAGTTGGAATTTACTGGAGTAACCAATTTGGCACTAAAAATGGAAATTTTCGATACTCTACTAGGTGCCTACAATAAATTTTACTATTATTTTTAATGCAGAGACACAACGATTTTGTAGTTTTGAATTTGATCAGGGGTATATGACCATAGTTTACGCCGACTCTAAAAGGCATGCAGTCTATTGTTTTTGAACGCCCCATTTTGTGTATTATGTTCAAAACAGAGACTCTCTGGGCTTACGACTACAGCTACCAGCTACTACTTTCAATAATATTAACACAAAAAAAAGTAGGTGGCATTTCTATAATACGTGCAAAGTTTATGTGAAACTGACTGGAAGACAGAGTAATGCACCAATATGTTACTAAACATATTTCGATAGAATTCCGTAAGAGCTTACCTCCAAGTTTTCTCATTTAGTCAGTCAAAGCATCAAATGGAAAATTCCAATCCAACATATGTAGTGGTGGAAATATATCAATCGCCTACGTTACCGATGGTACCCGACTGAAGCTTCTGCGTCTTCTTTACCCCACATGCCTACTTAAAAAGATACTGGTCTAAGTCTCAATATTCCTGTTAAAAAAAAAAGAGAGGTTCTATATTGCCATAAATATGTGTTTTCAAAATTTTACCTGAATGGTTCGTGATTCCTTATATATGCAGTGTTGGCAGCAATGTGGCGACGACTACGCTGAAACTTTCCATATCTCGTGTCCCCATGACTGGTCTGTTTCATATATCAAACCTCACCTCGCACGGGTTTGAACCTCCTTTAAAAAAAAAAAAAACAGGCAAGACTTATACTTATCATATCAAAGTAATACGAGGAACTTATATTTTATGCCAAAACTTATTTCATCACCTCCAAAGGGGAGTAGGGGTTTCTAAAGTATGGTAGGTACATCTCTTTCATTTTTTAATTAAAAAAAGTGACACAATTACGCGACGTAACTCGATCCGGATCGTTAACGCGTCTCAAGATGGGGGTTTAGAGATGCTGAGGTCATTAAATTGATTCACTAATACCAGTACACACTGAAACCCCTTATTTCCAAAATAAAAAATTGTTAACTGTTAACACAACAAAAAAACTATTTTCTCACCAATTATATTTCTGGGTCGTTTTCAGAATTTGTCCAAAGTAGAATCCCAAGAGGATAGGGCCGCAATTTCGAAAAATGTTCATGTCTCCCCACTATGCATTTGTACAAGAAGCAGGGCCGGATTAACAGCAATTATATTCTTGTCAGTCAACATACAGCCGCCGATTGAATTCTCGGATTCTGCTTTACTAGTAGCCATGGTCTGTCAAATATGTTACTTAAAAATTGTATATTTTTTTTTACAAATAATATACCTTTCCTAAAATAATTCCGCCTTTGTCAAGTTGGACACGGGCATGTCTGTCCGCTTTGAAAAGCGCAGGCGTATGTATCTTCCAAAATGATCCAAGCAGGCTCGGATTGCCAGCAAATACACAACTCGCCGATTCAATTCTGAGATGTTGCTTCACGAGTTACCATGATCTGTCAAATATTTTAATTTAAAAAAAAATCTATTATTTAGCAACAATATACCTTTTTAAAAATAATTTCGTCTTTTTTCAAGTTTAACAGGACACGTGTGTTCGTTTCAGTTGGACAAGGGCACGTCTGTCCGCTTTGAAAAGCGCGGCGTATGTATCTTCCAAAATGATCCAAATTGTTAACCTTTTTTTGATTCCTCGTTCCCCGATTCAATTCTGAGATGTTGCTTCACGAGTTACCATGATCTGTCAAATATTTTAATAAAAAAAATCTATTATTTAGCAACAATATACCTTTTTAAAAATAATTTCGTCTTTTTCAAGTTCAACAGGACACGTGTGTTCGTTTCGAAAGGTTTTGTAGTCTGTAGCTCTGTCGAATTCTCCAAAATTCGTTAAACCTTCAGATATTTTCAAAATTTGTCCAACGCAGACTTCCACTCACGCAGTTTCGAAAACTTTCTGGTCTCCCCGCCATGCATTTGTACACGAAGCCGTTCTGGACTATTAGCAAACAGCACATCCGTCATTTTTCTTCTCGGATTCCGCTTGACGAGTTACATCGATCTGTCAAATATTTAATGTAAAACAATCTTATCTATTACTTTTACCCAATATTAAGTACCTATTCAAAATTAGTAGCGCCTTTTCGAGTTCGAAAGGTTTCGTAGCCTATAGCCCTGCCGAAATGGCATTGCATTTGTACACGAAGCAGGGTCGGATTGTAAGCAAACAGCACCCCCGGTCACTTTTCTTCTCGGATTCTGCTTGACGAGTTACATCGATCTGTGGAATATTTAGCGAAAAAAAAAAATTATCTATTACTTTTACCAAAAATGAAGTACCTTTTTTCTTTAAAACAGTTCGTCCTTTTCGAGTTTGAAAGGTTTCGTAGCCTATAGCCCTGCCGAAATGTCATTGCATTTGTACACGAAGCAGGGTCGGATTGTCAGCAAACACCACAAGCGTCACTTTTCTTTTCGGTTTCTGCTTGACGAATTACATCGATCGGTCAAATATTTAATATAAAAAATATCTATTTTACCAAAAATACGTACTCTTCTAAGATAAATTAGCTCTTTTCGAGTTTAAGAGGACACGTATGTCAACTGTAGGATGTTTTATTATTATATTTTCCAGTGTCTATAAATTAATAAACAACAGAAGCTTCCGAATACAAAAATTTCAACATGAGTTTTTTTTTCTTGAAACTTAAAAGTTCTAACCCCTAAAACCATATTTTTAATACGCTGGCGGACGTATAACAATCCCCAAAAATTACCATATTTAAATTGTTACTATTGATATATTTCTATTCCGAACTTAACTCAATACATGCAAAAAAAAACTAGCGAATGTTATTTATTATCTCCGATGGGTGGATGATTGAGAAACGTTTAAATAAATCTACCTTTCTGTCTCTCTTTTTCTATATAGGTCACTCATTCTCTCTATCTGTTACTTTCCACAATCCGAATTTACACTTGGCCCCCCAAAAATCTTGTAAAATTTTATCTGCTTAACTTCTTCGCGTTGTTCATATTGCTGAATTTTTTGGGAGATATATCGTGCGTTATTTCTATTAAAATTCTGTTTCCTTTTTACCTACTTCAAAAACGTAAGCGAGCATTTTTGGTTGTTTTATTAAACAAAAATTGATACTAACCAAGATCCGTATCTCCGACCTCAGCCTCCTTTGATCACTCCCCAATTTTTTTTAATTAAGTATAGAAACCTCGTCGAACATATACATAATACTAGTTCAAAATGTTACGCGGTTACTCATTAAAGTCGCAATTCCGAAAGCTTCTTACCTATCTTTTTCCAGTCTTTTTTGTTTTATTTATCCGTATATGAAACACACATTGAACACAAAACTTAAACTCGTTGGCGATATTGCATTAAGCAACAAACGCGTATAACAGAAACGAACCCTTAACACAAACGCTTCTTTAAACTTCGACTGACACGTGAAACAAGCCGCATTCCTACGAAAGGCAGGTAAACCAAGCAGGTCAAATTTTAAGCTACCCTCCAGTGTCGTCGTAGGTTGGGGCATAGTAAATAGCGAATACAACAAAGCGGTAATTTATAATAATTTAATTTGCATTTTATTTAACTTAAGTTGTTTTGTAGAAAATGAGACATTTCTACAATTAATCAATATACTACGAGTACTTTTCCGCTTAATTACTATTTTTGAGAAACAAAAGGAAACGTTAGATTCCATTCAAACTTTTTCGGTTTTCATGATATCTCGCGTTTATTTAGAAGCTAATGGCCTGTGGCCTTAACCAGACGTTTCCAAAGCCTGGTTTGATATTATGTATATAAATCTTAACAAACACGAAAAATAGAGTTATATTGCCACCGAAAATCTGAATTTATGTTTAAAAATGTAACTTCCCGTATTTAAACTATTGCCTGCATTGGCGCCTATATTTTATAGTTTTTTTTTGTATCCTATTTTTTTTTGTTTTGCTTGCAAATGTGTGTCCATTTTTCGGGTACTGAATTTTTTTTTCTCAAATTATTACAAATTACTCAAAACGGAGTTAAAAAGAGACGAGGAGAAAAGGGTAGGACCCTTATTTCTCCGACACTGACCTCCGATGTTTATAAAAATTGACGCCTTGACACCCTCCCCGTGAATATTTTACAAAGGATTTTTAAAATTTAACTTCCAAATAACGCATACTCTCGCCTAGTGTCACAGTTTTGGGCCCCATTTTGCTATGGTTAGACAGGTTTATTCTTGTACATTGTCGGGACAAAAGAAGCATCTCCTTCATCCAAATCGACTTTTTCATACCTAATATAACAGCTGCCGGGCATCATCTCGCCTTAATTGTTTCTATTGAATTAATTTTAGTTACAAAAAATTAGATGATCGTCAAAATTGGCATAAAAAGATAATCAAGATTTAATTAAAACAAGAATATGCACAAAAGAAAAGAGATAAACTCCGACACGGGAAACAAGGAAATATCGCTGAAACGGCAACTGATCTAGCGCGCGCCTTTTTTAAAAATAATAATTTTTCAAAAGAATTCTAGGCTAAGCTAAATACCTGGTGCAACAAAGTATTGAAGGATCTTCATGATCCTACCTGTGAGCGAGTAGAAAATTATTTGCAAAGAGGATAAAGGTATATCTTAATATAAATAGTTTCACTATTGATAACATGTCCCCTTTTAAAATGGCGCATTATTTGATACGTACTTTTTTCTTGTCAGAGCTTGTCTAAAAAAAAAAATCGGGATGGATGGAGGTTCTCCGTCAGGTTTTTTTCCTGTCGAAACAAGTATGTGCGGCGTTCGCTTTGGATCTGGGGGAATGGGTGGGGTTATACATATATAAGCTATAAGAAATTTTAATTTTTTATTCAGTTTCCACTCATACAATTTCGTGATAAGTGCAGAGTGAGAAAAATGTCCGAAGTCGAAAATTATCCAACGCAAGCATTGGATTCATGGGGAAGATTTGTGGTCAATGCGGAAATAATCCGCGAACAAAAATACATTTACGAGGCAGCAATTACGCTGCCGGAATTCGGACTAGAAATTACCTCAGGTCTTAGCCCAGCAAGAATCTTCGCTCCGGCAGTGAAAGTGAGCTTTATCCCCTACGTTTTGGCGGAGAAAAGAAGCATTTCGTTCGACGAGATAGACTTCACAGAATTAATACAACAGCTTCCATTGTTATTGTTAGCAGGCCCGACTGGTAAAGTTATGTATTTAACCTGCTTCAAACTCAGCTGTCTACAATGTGATGGTGAAGTCTTGGTCAAGATTGAAAATAGCGAGGGTATACTCTATATTTCGAAAGACTGGGTACAGGAATTAATTACCATAAGCAAATTGGTATTTAAAAGAATACGAGTACTGTCTCGTTTGAACTTTTACGAGTACTACGATAGAATATTGTATTTGACTATACATGAAAATTTACTGGAAGACGCCAAAATCTTTCCGCATATAGAATATTTATGTTCTACAGAAGAGAGTGAGCAGAGCTACTGCATGGAGGACTACATGCGTTTTGTAAAAATGCAGATAAAACAAGATATCAACAAAAGGATAGCATGGGACATACCTGTGTTTTAATAGAAATTTACCTGTAAACTAATAATAATAAATGTATTTTTAAAATTCAGTGTGTGTGTATGTTTTATCCTTACCCCCATAAAAAAAAGTAAAAAAAAAACAAGTAATTGCGTAAAATAACTTTATTAAAGAAAAAAAAATAACAACAAAATATAACCAAACAAAACATAGTACCACCGGAATGAAACCATCAGAAATTACCCCAACAACGGAGATTCTCGCATATAATTTACCAAAAAAAATTTTGCAGTGCAAAAGTCAAAGTTCAAAGCTGGCGATGCAGTGAGCATAAGTCGCACAAAATCGGTTTTTGACAAAAGCTATGAAATTAATTGGACACCCCGAAAATTTCAAGATTGTTAAAGTAAGTGGTTCCTTCCCTCTTACGTATATTTTGGAAGATATGGAGGGGCGTTAAATCAAAGCTTCGTTTTATTGAAGTCGAATTACAAAAACCGTACTACCAAATAGTCGATCGACTATTTGCAATTTTTTTTGGTAAATTATATGCGAGAATCTCCGTTGTTGGGGTAATTTCTGATGGTTTCATTCCGGTGGTACTATGTTTTGTTTGGTTATATTTTGTTGTTATTTTTTTTTCTTTAATAAAGTTATTTTACGCAATTACTTGTTTTTTTTTTACTTTTTTTTATGGGGGTAAGGATAAAACATACACACACACTGAATTTTAAAAATACATTTATTATTATTAGTTTACAGGTAAATTTCTATTAAAACACAGGTATGTCCCATGCTATCCTTTTGTTGATATCTTGTTTTATCTGCATTTTTCCAAAACGCATGTAGTCCTCCATGCAGTAGCTCTGCTCACTCTCTTCTGTAGAACATAAATATTCTATATGCGGAAAGATTTTGGCGTCTTCCAGTAAATTTTCATGTATAGTCAAATACAATATTCTATCGTAGTACTCGTAAAAGTTCAAACGAGACAGTACTCGTATTCTTTTAAATACCAATTTGCTTATGGTAATTAATTCCTGTACCCAGTCTTTCGAAATATAGAGTATACCCTCGCTATTTTCAATCTTGACCAAGACTTCACCATCACATTGTAGACAGCTGAGTTTGAAGCAGGTTAAATACATAACTTTACCAGTCGGGCCTGCTAACAATAACAATGGAAGCTGTTGTATTAATTCTGTGAAGTCTATCTCGTCGAACGAAATGCTTCTTTTCTCCGCCAAAACGTAGGGGATAAAGCTCACTTTCACTGCCGGAGCGAAGATTCTTGCTGGGCTAAGACCTGAGGTAATTTCTAGTCCGAATTCCGGCAGCGTAATTGCTGCCTCGTAAATGTATTTTTGTTCGCGGATTATTTCCGCATTGACCACAAATCTTCCCCATGAATCCAATGCTTGCGTTGGATAATTTTCGACTTCGGACATTTTTCTCACTCTGCACTTATCACGAAATTGTATGAGTGGAAACTGAATAAAAAATTAAAATTTCTTATAGCTTATATATGTATAACCCCACCCATTCCCCCAGATCCAAAGCGAACGCCGCACATACTTGTTTCGACAGGAAAAAAACCTGACGGAGAACCTCCATCCATCCCGATTTTTTTTTTTAGACAAGCTCTGACAAGAAAAAAGTACGTATCAAATAATGCGCCATTTTAAAAGGGGACATGTTATCAATAGTGAAACTATTTATATTAAGATATACCTTTATCCTCTTTGCAAATAATTTTCTACTCGCTCACAGGTAGGATCATGAAGATCCTTCAATACTTTGTTGCACCAGGTATTTAGCTTAGCCTAGAATTCTTTTGAAAAATTATTATTTTTAAAAAAGGCGCGCGCTAGATCAGTTGCCGTTTCAGCGATATTTCCTTGTTTCCCGTGTCGGAGTTTATCTCTTTTCTTTTGTGCATATTCTTGTTTTAATTAAATCTTGATTATCTTTTTATGCCAATTTTGACGATCATCTAATTTTTTGTAACTAAAATTAATTCAATTGAAACAATTAAGGCGAGATGATGCCCGGCAGCTGTTATATTAGGTATGAAAAAGTCGATTTGGATGAAGGAGATGCTTCTTTTGTCCCGACAATGTACAAGAATAAACCTGTCTAACCATAGCAAAATGGGGCCCAAAACTGTGACACTAGGCGAGAGTATGCGTTATTTGGAAGTTAAATTTTAAAAATCCTTTGTAAAATATTCACGGGGAGGGTGTCAAGGCGTCAATTTTTATAAACATCGGAGGTCAGTGTCGGAGAAATAAGGGTTCTACCCTTTTCTCCTCGTCTCTTTTTAACTCCGTTTTGAGTAATTTGTAATAATTTGAGAAAAAAAAATTCAGTACCCGAAAAATGGACACACATTTGCAAGCAAAACAAAAAAAAATAGGATACAAAAAAAAACTATAAAATATAGGCGCCAATGCAGGCAATAGTTTAAATACGGGAAGTTACATTTTTAAACATAAATTCAGATTTTCGGTGGCAATATAACTCTATTTTTCGTGTTTGTTAAGATTTATATACATAATATCAAACCAGGCTTTGGAAACGTCTGGTTAAGGCCACAGGCCATTAGCTTCTAAATAAACGCGAGATATCATGAAAACCGAAAAAGTTTGAATGGAATCTAACGTTTCCTTTTGTTTCTCAAAAATAGTAATTAAGCGGAAAAGTACTCGTAGTATATTGATTAATTGTAGAAATGTCTCATTTTCTACAAAACAACTTAAGTTAAATAAAATGCAAATTAAATTATTATAAATTACCGCTTTGTTGTATTCGCTATTTACTATGCCCCAACCTACGACGACACTGGAGGGTAGCTTAAAATTTGACCTGCTTGGTTTACCTGCCTTTCGTAGGAATGCGGGTTGTTTCACGTGTCAGTCGAAGTTTAAAGAAGCGTTTGTGTTAAGGGTTCGTTTCTGTTATACGCGTTTGTTGCTTAATGCAATATCGCCAACGAGTTTAAGTTTTGGACAAATTTTGAAAATATCTGAAGGTTTAACGAATTTTGGAGAATTCGACAGAGCTACAGACTACAAAACCTTTCGAAACGAACACACGTGTCCTGTTGAACTTGAAAAAGACGAAATTATTTTTAAAAAGGTATATTGTTGCTAAATAATAGATTTTTTTTATTAAAATATTTGACAGATCATGGTAACTCGTGAAGCAACATCTCAGAATTGAATCGGGGAACGAGGAATCAAAAAAAGGTTAACAATTTGGATCATTTTGGAAGATACATACGCCGCGCTTTTCAAAGCGGACAGACGTGCCCTTGTCCAACTGAAACGAACACACGTGTCCTGTTAAACTTGAAAAAAGACGAAATTATTTTTAAAAAGGTATATTGTTGCTAAATAATAGATTTTTTTTTAAATTAAAATATTTGACAGATCATGGTAACTCGTGAAGCAACATCTCAGAATTGAATCGGCGAGTTGTGTATTTGCTGGCAATCCGAGCCTGCTTGGATCATTTTGGAAGATACATACGCCTGCGCTTTTCAAAGCGGACAGACATGCCCGTGTCCAACTTGACAAAGGCGGAATTATTTTAGGAAAGGTATATTATTTGTAAAAAAAAATATACAATTTTTAAGTAACATATTTGACAGACCATGGCTACTAGTAAAGCAGAATCCGAGAATTCAATCGGCGGCTGTATGTTGACTGACAAGAATATAATTGCTGTTAATCCGGCCCTGCTTCTTGTACAAATGCATAGTGGGGAGACATGAACATTTTTCGAAATTGCGGCCCTATCCTCTTGGGATTCTACTTTGGACAAATTCTGAAAACGACCCAGAAATATAATTGGTGAGAAAATAGTTTTTTTGTTGTGTTAACAGTTAACAATTTTTTATTTTGGAAATAAGGGGTTTCAGTGTGTACTGGTATTAGTGAATCAATTTAATGACCTCAGCATCTCTAAACCCCCATCTTGAGACGCGTTAACGATCCGGATCGAGTTACGTCGCGTAATTGTGTCACTTTTTTTAATTAAAAAATGAAAGAGATGTACCTACCATACTTTAGAAACCCCTACTCCCCTTTGGAGGTGATGAAATAAGTTTTGGCATAAAATATAAGTTCCTCGTATTACTTTGATATGATAAGTATAAGTCTTGCCTGTTTTTTTTTTTTTTAAAGGAGGTTCAAACCCGTGCGAGGTGAGGTTTGATATATGAAACAGACCAGTCATGGGGACACGAGATATGGAAAGTTTCAGCGTAGTCGTCGCCACATTGCTGCCAACACTGCATATATAAGGAATCACGAACCATTCAGGTAAAATTTTGAAAACACATATTTATGGCAATATAGAACCTCTCTTTTTTTTTTAACAGGAATATTGAGACTTAGACCAGTATCTTTTTAAGTAGGCATGTGGGGTAAAGAAGACGCAGAAGCTTCAGTCGGGTACCATCGGTAACGTAGGCGATTGATATATTTCCACCACTACATATGTTGGATTGGAATTTTCCATTTGATGCTTTGACTGACTAAATGAGAAAACTTGGAGGTAAGCTCTTACGGAATTCTATCGAAATATGTTTAGTAACATATTGGTGCATTACTCTGTCTTCCAGTCAGTTTCACATAAACTTTGCACGTATTATAGAAATGCCACCTACTTTTTTTTGTGTTAATATTATTGAAAGTAGTAGCTGGTAGCTGTAGTCGTAAGCCCAGAGAGTCTCTGTTTTGAACATAATACACAAAATGGGGCGTTCAAAAACAATAGACTGCATGCCTTTTAGAGTCGGCGTAAACTATGGTCATATACCCCTGATCAAATTCAAAACTACAAAATCGTTGTGTCTCTGCATTAAAAATAATAGTAAAATTTATTGTAGGCACCTAGTAGAGTATCGAAAATTTCCATTTTTAGTGCCAAATTGGTTACTCCAGTAAATTCCAACTGTTCTAATTTTTTTTTTTAATAATTTATGATGTTAGTGAGTTTCATTGCAATTATTTGTTGCTTATATTTTCTGCGTATTAAACCTTAATTAACAATACGCTATTCGTTAACGCAGGTAGAATTAATGACGCTGACTAACCTGCTTTTGTCCAGGGGGACGTAGTACGGTAGTTTGTACTGTGATGTTTGGTAGTTTGGCAGTGAGCTCTCATTTATGAAACTGGGGAATGTTTCGTTATCTTCAAATCCTAAACACGTATCAATAGAATTATATTTTTAAAATATTGAATAGGACATGTACTAAGTAACTAAATGCTCTAGCAAAAATATTCACACATATTGCGGAAAACGTACAAATTTATATTAGAGAAAATTAACTATTTTTAGAGGTTGGTTTTTCAAAAAGGTGGGGATTTAGTTAAAGAACAGATAGAGACTAAAGGGAAGCTCTATGAGAAAAGTTAGAATTAAAAAATCGATGTTTTCGTGTCATAGCGAAAGATGGATTATTATTAAAAATAATACTTGCATTAATTGTTGTCACCATTTGTGAAAAATATGGAAAATATCCTCTAGGTTCGCATACCTTTTTTTTAATTTTTTTAACGTGGCTAACAAAATACACAGACAGAAAAGTTTAAGATCCTGTTCGTTAATGTAGCGCATAGAAAAAAATTAGAAAAGAGAACGTTTCGTGTATGGCATACGTAGTTAGTACGGAATATTAATCTGAAGGCTGCAAGACAGTGAAAGAGTGATGCGCTTAAGTGTGGTTCAGAGAGGTTATTTGGGCTGTAGAAGTTTTTCTTTGAACAGGGTTCAAATAGCGTCTATTAGAGCGTTAGCAGAGAAGAGTATTACAGTATTTAATATAAGCGTCCAGATTTCATTATTGTTGAGATTGCATAGAAACACACTTTCATGTAGTAGTCGCAGCAGCTTTAAAGTATATGACTTTTTAGTTAAGATGCCTTTCGAGTTTGCTTTATGGCTTGATAGGAAATTAAAGGGTAGATACAGATAAGTTACGAAAAAAAGTATGTACACTATCCTCAAAGATCAGCAATAAATAAAAGAAATTGATGAAATAGTAAAGTTGACTGCGATATCTTAAAATCATCAATAAGATAGATAAATTAATTTTGTCAATATTAAATAATAAAAATAAAATTATAATAGCAAAGAAAGCCTACCACGGCCACATACACATAATATTTTCGACATATGAACTTTTCCCAGATAAATAGTCAAATATCTCACGATACCTTAAAACAGAAGCATGCGGAAATATGTATGAAGTTAACGCACGGTAGATGGCTTAGTAAATTAAAAAGGTATATGGTTTCTAATATCCTACTTTATTAATGAAAATTTTAACCAGCTTTTTGTTTTGCAGATATTATTGGTGGTGCCTGCCAGCTTCCAGTTCCGAGAAAAGAAATCCAACACTTTTCGTCTTTATTTCCCCTGTCCTTTGTGCGCAATAAAAGTACAGTTTGTACCCGCGAGGATACACATTCGCAGAATTATATGTTTTTAAAATAAATGTTTTGGTCAATATTCACTAGGTGGGTTACCTTATTAAAGAAAATCTTATTCCAAGAGGGGACACTAGTTTACATTCGAACCGCTAGAGGGTGCAGATGGTCACGCGAACAATATGATCAAGTCTCATTGACGCCATTGCTTTTCTTAGGGGTGGGAAAATATCTGGGCTCTGATTGGCTTCGCCGCCATCGCAAACTAGAGGTGGGGAGATTGATTAAACCCCATTGGTGCTTGCTTATCCAATGGGAGCCAGTTTCAAGGGATTATGGGTAAAGGGGGAGGAGCTAAAGAGTCGTGGGTAAGGAGGACACGCCCACAAAAGGGAGAGGAGTGGGGTTGTCCCCAAGCATACATATCTCTACTAACCCCGTATCTACCAACCCATAATGGGTAATTTACCCCACGCTAGAGTCACTCCCCAAAAACCGTTTTCTTCCACGGGAATCGATTTTAGCGGCAATCTGCTTATTACCCTTAGCAAACACAGAGGAGCTAAAACTACCAAGGCTTACATATGTTTATTGGTCTGTTTGGCTACCAAAGCCATTCATCTGGAATTTGTCCGCTGAAGCTTTCTTGGCCGCTCTCCGTCGTCAGAAATTTGTATTCAGACAACGCGACAAACTTTGTTAAAGCTAACAAGGAGCTATGGACACTTGCCCGGAAGTGCGCTAACCAGGAGTGTATTGACTGGCATTTTATACCACCATCCGCCCCCCACTTTGGAGGTATATGGGAATCGGGAATAAAATCGGTGAAAGGTCATTTGATGCGTGTCATCGGTTCGCAAATACTCACCTACGAAGAATTGTCCACCATATTATGTCAAATAGAGGCTGTGTTAAACTCTCGACCGCTCACACCTCTATCTTCAGATCCCAACGACTTTGAAGTTTCAACGCCCAGTCACTTTTTAACGGGGGCTCCGTTAGTCGCCGTACCAAACGACGATGTTAACACTGAGAAATTAAGTAATCCAAATCGCTGGAAACTAGTTCAGAGAATTCACAACGACTTTTGGCGCCGATGGAAGGCGGAGTATTTGAATACGTTACAAACTCGTCAAAAGTGGCTGCAATCCTGTCAAGAACCCACAATCGGCACTTTAGTTTTGTAAAAAGACGATCTCGCTCAGCTCTTACAGTGGCGTACAGGTCGAATTGTGGACATTTTCAAAGGCCCAGTCGGTCACGCTCGAGTCGCTAATGTCCGTACCAATTCGGGTACTTTTAGAAGGCCATTACTTAAATTATGTCCCCTGCCTTTGGTAACCCTCCGAAAGTGACAGTCACTTATTTATAATTCATTAATGATTAATTTTTATTTAACTTTAAGAATTTAATCTATGTTTCCTTTAATATTTTTTATAGTTTATAGTTTAAAATTGCGCGCTAAATGGCAACGAAATTTCTACGGGCGACTTTTTACGCGTTCCCCCTTTTTTGTTTGTTTGCCGATAACTTAATTTTCGGGTCGATCAGCAGTCGGTAAAAACCACGCTGTTGAAAAGGTAGTTTTTCGCTGTGCTCGTTCCGCTTTAGCTTGCTGTTTTGCATTTTCACCGGTCGTTACTTTTGTCCGAAGAACATTTTCCGCATCACCAAGGGGTACCCCGAAGACGAACCCAGAATACAAGGCAGCTCCGTGACACCGAGGTAAGTCGCTACAGTTATTTCGTTGCCCCATTCGGCTTAAATAGTTTTCATTTCAAAATTATAATCCAGTCCACTTAACCAACTACAATAGAATTATCATTTAATTGGGTAGCTGAGGTTTCTTTATATTCGATTGGAGTCACTGGACAATGATTAGATAAATTAATTGTTTGCGGAATACAGAGTTCGTTTTTATTAAGCAGGTTGCTGGGGCATAAGGATATGTTTCTCGACTTTGTAGCAGTTTTCTTTTAGGTTAAAGAAATCGTCTGTCGATTTCAAAAGATAGGGATTGTTTATAATGGATATTTTATTATTAATTGGTATGGAGTATATACGGTACAGATTATAAGGCTTGTTATAAATAAGAGGTACAGCTGCGTAAAATATAAGCTAATTTTTGATCGTGACGTCAGCGTGCGCCACTTCGTAGTATTTAATTATATTATCGAAAGGAATTCGTGTTTTCGGGTCAAGTTTAGAGATAATATTCTTAAGTTCTTTGTATTTAAAATGCTGTGGTGCATTACGTTTATTTCAGCGAAGTTGATAGCGGTCTGCACATTTATTCGCATTTCATCGAAAACGCGAAGATTGTTTTCCAAGTTGTCGAGTAAGATAATGAAATAAGAGGTTATTGTTATAGTTTGCGTCATTTTTGCTAGGTAGTTAATTTGGGTCAGTATATTCTGCTGATTATTTTTTATGTTATTCAGCTGAGCGTCTATGTCCTTTGTTAGCCGTTTAACGATCGTCTGGGTTGAGGATACGACTTGATGTAGGGTTTCTTGATTTTCTTGAAGAATTTTAATATATTGGTCGTATCTATGACCATCATCTGAGTCTAGAGTTCCAAATAAATATTTTTGCACTTTTCCAACGAAATTAAAGAGTCCTCTTTTAATTCTTTTTGCTGGAGCGGTATAATTATTAATAAAGGCTTTAATAGATTCTGCTTGGTCAATAAGATCTAAGGTCCGAGTTAGTAATAAGTGACCTAAGGGCGTATTTAAATTATTTAGGGTGGCATTAATTCGTAAAAGCATTGATTTCGTTAATTTTAAACAATCCTGTAAGTTAGTCAAATTAACATGATAGTAGACATGATGAAAGTTTGTTACAACATAACTATTTCCTTGATGTACTGGTAACAGGGGGTTTGTTATATCTTCGATTTTATATTTTAAATTGAATGACTTTATATTTAGGTTGTAATTTTTGTGCTCACTTTAACTTCCGCGCTGTATTTATTAATTGATTAGTATCTTCGGGTATTTCGGGGTCATTTTCGCGTTTTTCATTTAGTTTTGCTAAAACATTTGCCTTTTTTGTATTAAGTTTTAAATTTATTTTTTCATTAAGTTCCTTAAAGATTTCCGCAAGTTCGTACACATAATCTGTTTGCAATTTAGGTTTTTGTCAAAATTTAGTTGATAATACAGATTTCCTTTTAGAATTTGAAAAGAAAATGGGAAGAATGTATACTATTATTATAATTTATTATTGCGATATTCATTAGCTCTTGGATCGTTTTAGTACGATGTTCATTTTTTAGAGCGACTAGACTTTCCTTAAGGGTAGAATGGAATCTTTCGACTGGTGAGTTTGAATGTGGATTATACGGGGTAGTGAAATGTAACTCGATTCGATACGTTTCACACAAGTGTTGTACTAGGTTACTTTTAAAGCTTTGTGCGTTATCCGTAGTAATTTTACTTGGTGTTCCATGATGTGAAAAGAATTTAGTTAAGCTTTGACATATTTCGAGGGAGGTTTCATTAACTGGGTATGCTGCTGCAAATTTAGAGAATTTATCTATTATTATATATTACATATATTTTCTGTCATTCCTCGATGTGGTGTCTTTGTAGTGTGATATCTTTCTATTATTTCTTTCTGTTCGTTTTGATGTTAAACATCTTCGAGTAATGTGTTAGAAACGACGAGTTTAAATGAATTATTTTTAAACGTTTCCTGGAAGGTCCGTATAATCACAAGATCAAACGAACTTACCTAAGTGATGTTCGATCTTGATTATATGAATGCTTCGTTGAAGTAAATAAGGATGACGTAGTACCTCCGCTTCGGCGTTATCGCTCACTATGTTCAAAGGACAAATTACTCACCCCGGCTGTGTCGTTGTAAGTGTAGTCGTTATTTTTAAAGCACATCTTGTTGCAACTTATAACGGGTTAAGGGAGGGTTGGGACCTTATTTACTTCAACGAGGCATTCATATAATCAAGATCGAACATCACTTAGGTAAGTTCGTTTGATCGTGTGATTATATTCAGCCTCGTTTCGTAAATAAGGATGACGTAGTTATTTAGAGACTGTTGCAACAATTAAACACATATTCAGTAAATCTATTAACCTATGTCGAACAAACAGGAAACGAAAAAATCATTATTAACGAAAATAAAAACTAAAGAAAGCCACGGTAAATAGAAAATACTTAACGTAAGGAAGGTGACATTCTTCAAGTAAAACTAAAAGAACAAATCGATAAAAATAATAATAATTAAGTACTACTTATGTATCAAGCACTGTTTCGGCAAAGGTTTTACTTGAAATTACAGGTCTATTATACACTGTGGTAGACATCCTGGAATTATTTCACCAGCCTGCAGCTCTTCTGATAGTGTCATAGTTTAGTCCTTTTTTATTAGCAGCTGATACTACAGCATGTCTTATACTATAGCCTGTGTCAATACCGCTCTTGCCTAAAACATTCTTAATCCAACGACTAAGTGTTTGCGTAGAGGCCTTATGAAAAGGTTTTTTAATTGTTATGAAACGGATTTTTCTGGTCCTCTAAGTGTTTTAGTTTTTTCCAGATAAGCTAAGAGGGTCTGGGTTACACAAATATGTGGGTCAGATATTAGAAACGGTAACAGTAACAAAGTTTATTCTTTTTTGTTGCTTTAATCCTTTTTGGCATCGTTATTTATATGATTGAAAGGAATCTTTATCAGGGGACGGGTCTGAAGGCGTTGAACTGTCTGTTGCAAGCGCTAACAAAGTTACACATTTTTGAGTGAGAACTTCTTGGTTAAGTTCAGCATTTTAAGCGTTAGTTAGGCGTTAACATGTAAGTTCCTTTAAAAAAACCGTTGAAATCTGAAATCCTGAGCCAAATTTGGAAAAGCTATTTGCGCTATAGCTGACCTATAAGAGTTTAAGGAATTATATGAAGCTCCATTGTTAACTGTAAGGACAAAAAATCCAGAACGTTTACTACACTTACAACAAATGGATTAATCTTTCTGGAGGAACAAACTTCCCACCAGAGTTTCAAACCGCAATTATATTGCTTCAACGTTGCTTCGGAAATTGAAGCCATGCATATTTCTAAGGACTCATTTGGAACTTGTCCACGCAAGAGAGCTTATCTGATAACTTGGCGGCAATTAGGGAAAGGTTGGTCGATAAGGGGTGCGGTATGTCCTAGCAGTTCCCGGTCTTTTGGTGAAGGGCTTAGCACTCTTTAGTTGCTGAGATGATATTTGGAGGCTCTTTGCTGTTTTCAGCCTCTCATCTAAATTTTTCCCAAATAGGCACTCGTCAATTGGAGAGTCCAAGAGCGTTCCCTTTAAATCTTTATTTAAGTTCATAGAGACGAGATTCCTTCTGAAAAGAGTTTCCAGATTATGGATGTCGGAAAGGAGATGACCCGCATCACTTAACTTTTCAATATGTAGTTTGTTTCCCCCCACCGCTGCGTTGAGTAAGTCCGTTACGACTAAACCAATGGCAGACAAACATGAAGCAATTTGAGCCTGTAAATTACTTAGGCGATGGTCTCTAGTTTGTATAGCTTCTGTTGTCGCTTCTTTCACAACAGGATTTAACTTTGGTGGGCGCAAACCCATACCGTTTTCGAGACAGGGGTATTTGGTTAACAAACTTTTGCATTTTTCAGGGTCTAAACCCTTCTGGCCAATATTTGCCCAAATATTGATCACGTTTTGCTGTATCGGTGGGCCAGAATCTTTATTGTTGCCGCCCTCGTCTCCTATTAAGGACAATATCTCTGGTTCCAGAGAGCCGCTCCCTTGATCATTAAGGTTGTCAGTTTTCGTCAAGCAAGTGACATCCTGCTCTGTAACCAAAACAAATGCATTGTTATTGTAAACAATAAATTTCTTGTTATCACAGCCAAGCTAAAATATATTATTACTGTTATCCCAAACAGTCTAAAAAATATTACTGTTATCCCAAACAGTTTAAAATATATTACTGTTATCTCAAACAGTCTAAAAATATATTACTGTTATCCCAAACAGTTTAAAATATATTACTGTTATCTCAAACAGTCTAAAAATATATTACTGTTATCCCAAACAGTTTGTTATCTCAAACAGTCCAAAATATATTACTGTTATCCCAAACAGTTTTTCTGTTATCCTAGACGGGCCCAAATAATAATAACTTACTATTACTTTCAACCAGCTTTCCTGTTATCCCAAACAGGTGAGGATAAGAAATTGCTGAATAGATATTCATTATTCTCCACATCGGGGCAATCACTCGGATTTTGTGAACTAGATGCACTTTCACAAGAACTTTATGATAATAATTGTCGTGGTTTTTTCCGATTTTTCTTTTCTAACACATCCATTCGGCGCTCCAATCTTTGAAGAATCGTCAAGACGGAACTTTTTCCCTCCCGGGTTACTGATGACCCGAGCGAAGGCGACGGGCTACGTCGCCGTTTTCGTGAATATATTGACATAACAGTACACAGGAAATAATACGCAGATGGGAACGATTCCGCACTAAAACGAAGACTGAAGTAGGTACGTATCGGGACGGGTCGGCAGGCGGGGGTGCAACACAGCCGGGGTGAGTAATTTGTCCTTTGAACATAGTCAGCGATAACGCCCAAGCGGAGGTACTATGTCATCCTTATTTACGAAACGAGGCTGAATGTAATTACTGGTTCTAGTTCTTTATTAGGGAAATGTAGACAGTAAGTGTCGGGGGGTGAATTGTCTCGTAAAAGCTTTTGGATTTCTTCCATTGTTGGGTTTTGTTAATGTACATCATCAGTTTTTTCTTAGTGTCAAATAATCTTTCTGTTCTTGCATGAGGTTGTGTTAAATCAGTCCTTATTGATATATGGAGCTCCTACGAGCCGTAGCAACTAAATGTTCGGACGATGTAAAAAATGATAAAAAAGACATTTTTATATCTATTTAACTTTTTTTTTGCTTTGTCGATTGAATAATCAATTTACGCACATTACGATAGCACAGAAAGCGCTATCGTAATGAATTATTTTTTATTTCGCATGAATTACATAGCAAAATAACGGAAACATACCAAATTTGCTGACAAATAAATATTCGGACGCGAATGTATATTGACCAAGAAATCAATGCTACCCATGCATTGATGGTAAAATATAGTGTGCTTAGATAAATGAGATGTCAGTTCGGGTTGTATCTTTCAAGTTTGTATAATAGTTGATAAGAAAATGACGCATGGTGTTGCAACAAACAAAAAAGTGCGAGAAATTATCATCTCAGTACTGAAGAAGTAAATCAATGCACAAAATTTGAAATGACTTGAGTATTGCAAAATCAACAGTCGGGGATATTATAAAAAAGTATGGA